TTCAAAATATAGTTAACGTGCCAAAGATAAAACTACTCATAATGTAGAATACAGTGGATATAATTTCACTATAATATATTGGATAATAATTGATGCTGCGTCTGGTAAAAGAAGCAATTTGAGTTGAATTGTTTTAAATATTGTTGGATAGTTTGTGAATTTCTGCTTAAGCTAGAATAAGAATACAATTTATTTTTGAAGCACTTTTCAAAATGCAAGTTACAAAATGCTTCATGAGGCAGCTAAATAAAACATGCAAGTCATAAAATCATCAATTTAAAAGACGTGTATCGAAAGCATTACGGTATTGGAAAAGGTGAAAACATTCTGTAAAAAAATAAACGAAAAATGTAAAGTCAAATAAGATCAGTAAGGACTAGATAAGTATGTACCAGTATATATGGTGCTAAAAGGTCAGAGGTATGGCTGGAAGAGAGGCTTTAATACATCATCATTTATTTGTTGATCACACTTGGTCATATTAACGTAAATCTGCAGAACAACTAAAGACATCAAACACATTTAGTGAAGTAAAATGTACAATACATTTCCCTCTGAAATGTAATGGGAATGTATAAAGCAGCAATAACTGGAAATGAATTATCTCAAAACCATATTGAAAGCCAGCGATTGAGTAAATATACCGAGTTACATTCCATCATCAGCTGACTGTCATGTTGGACTGAACCAGTGAGCTTCCAGTTATGAGACGGAATGACTAACCAAATGGTGACCACATGTGCTTCATCATCTCTAATCTATGAAACCATAAAACATGTGAGAAAACAAGTAGAAACTGTGAGCTGTTTGGTCAGGGAGGCGTCCAGAACAGTCGAGAAGTTTACAGCGAGCAAACAGCTTTGATTAAGTGTACGTATGTGGACGATTATATATATAGTCAGCTTTTCTTTTTCCATAAAACATGATAAGAACACACAATGAGGTCCCTACTTCTACACATCATGTGTGAAAGCAAAAGGGTTTTGTTGTATCCTCTAAAGGCCCACTCAGGGTGTCACTCTGAGTGTTTTGCAGGTGCGAAGATATTTGCCTGATATGAAGCGAAGCCTAATGGGTTTGTCCTTTGAACTCATTTTGCATGCTGTAGAACTCACCCGGGGGGGACGACAGCATACGGTGACTCACTGCTGTCGTAATAGATTTGTGACAAAATAGATAAATTATTACCAGAATATTCATCTGAACACTTTTATCAGATGCTGTGGTTCTTGCTGCAGGTTTATCGTTTGTAGGATTTGTCATCTTTTTCTTATTAGTCATTGTGGAGTGATGTTGAAACTCCTTGACAACTGATACCACATTGTTATGTTTCAAACAGTGACGCAGTAACAAAAATGTTAACTTGAGGAGCTGGATTAATAAAACAACTCGTGATTCAGACTAAAACAAGGCTTCACCTTTCAGAGCAGCAGCTGAAACATCAGGGGTATTTTGCTGTCAAGGTATTTTATTTAAGAAAGAGGTTATTTAATCACTACAGTCATAAAAAAAAAAAACCCAACAACTCTGGTTTGCCGAGAGTGTATTTCAGCTGTCTGCTGACCTCTTTCATGTAATGTGTGATTGGTGAAGCAGTTCTGATTCAGTATTGATCATCAGCCTCCACATGATAATGTTGATGTCACGGAGGGATGAATCTGTTGGACCAAGAAAGAGCTATAGGCCTGTCAAAAGCAGGCTGAGTTGCAATTTTGTTTTCAATGTTTGGTCCGGTCCAACACTGTTTATACGTTTGGGAGGGGTGGTTATATTGTCCTAATCAATCAGTAATGATTCCAACCTGGCATCCGTGCAATTTACACTCAGTTCAGACGGAGAGATTGCAACTTCTAGGAGCAGTTTGTCTAAGAAAATATGCACATTTAGGAATTTTTACTTCTGCAACGCTGTGACAACCTGTAAGTTTGCTGTGTCTGATTCACGCTTGTCACCCTGTTTATTCACTGCACTACCTTGCATCTCGGAAAACAGCTGTCAGTGAGGACAACGCTGGACGGGTTTGAATCCCTGAAATTCAAACCATCGGGTACAGAGCACATGTCAAACTAACTCCATAAGCCAACTTCATTTGCTTCAAATAAAGTTTAAGGGTTGCCATCCTGGACTACAAGCTGATCCCATGACAGTTGCTATGTGGTTGTTCCAATACAAGTATACTAACATCAACCATGTAAGCGTTATGTCAACAGGAATAATGAAGGCTCTTTGCAACGTACAGTTCTGCCCTTTTGTGTTTCCCTTAGTCACTGTAATGTCGGAAAAACCTGTTCATTCCACCGTGTGTGACTGTACCGCGTATACGACACCGAGTCAGATTGGTAAAGGATAGGTTGACAGTTTTTAAAGCCCCGGTGCCCACATGAACTTTGAAATAGGTTTTCCTTGCTGTCGGTATTTCCCTTATCATACTGCTCAATAAAAAAATCACCGTTTCTAATATAATTTCAGGTGTGTCTGCCAAACCCTTTCAGAACAATCTTGTCGCCTTTTATTACTGTCATCCCACAGAACAGCATCTGAGGAAACACAAAGAGGGAGTTTTATATTTAAAAACTGCTCCCACGGACGATATAGTTTGTCTGGTGTCGAAGCTTCATGTTAACATTTTTGTTGTCCAGCATTGAAAACACATTAAGAAGGGACTTTTCAATCCATTGTAAACATGAGGAATGATTACACAAACAGTTTTTTTCCTGAAGCTGAAACTTTGCAGAACTATCCTTTAAACACAAAACTCATTCCGATATCTTGGGTTTTGATCTCTGGGATCGCCGCTAGAATTTAACAATCACTGTGAATATCGAGGCTGTTTTTATTGTCTCCCAAGATAGAAAACTGGTCCAGCAGCTGGCGTCTACTTGTTAAAGGGGGTTACAGTGAAACTAGACACAGGGGCCCTCTGAAAGAAAAGGCTGTGATTAGGTAAAACATTCAGGAGCCACCTGCAGGCCCTTATCATTTTGCTGAATTTGCTTCATTGGTGGATGCTGACTAAAAGCGATCCTGTTGGGTTTCAGGAGAGGAGTGGGGCCTTGATGCCCTGTTTAGCCCAGTTAACAATTCTCCTTGAGTTGCACTGAGTTAAGTGGGACAATGTGACACTCATACACACACACAGTGATGCAGCGATGTGCCCTGGAAGGTGCAGGTCTAACCATCAGAAGCAATTTGTGTCTCATAACTCAGGACAGGTATGATGCAACTCTCGGATTGTCTTTACCCTCAGGCACTTGTGTAAGTCCTCGTGGTTTCTCTGTAAGAGACTGGAAGTTGCAGTCCGCACACAGAGAGCCACTACAAGACCGGGCTCGGAGATTTGATTTCAAATCCGTACAAATTTTCTTGAACCACCGAGCAGTTCACCTGAGGCAAACATTTCTGAAAACGAACGTAACGTCTTGTAACGAAACCCTCCTCAATTCCCGATATTATCTTTAACTTCGCGTCAGCTGTTCTGCTATCGCTTCGATCTCTGATAACAGCGTGTTCTATTCTGAGAATATTGCGAAGGGGGTTGATTTTGGAGGGGAGTTTGCAATATGTGTGTGCTTAAAGTGTGTCTGTGTCTATCTGGGCTCCCCGTGGTCATTCTATTGGTCTTCTGAGTGGGTGGTCTGTTCCAAGAGAGGAGCACTGGAAACATTATACCAACATACACACACATGCAAACACACACACACACACACACACACGCTTAGACACACACAAAGGGAAACTGGGAATCACACCAACGCAGCACAGCGGAGGGTGGAGCAGGCAGGAGCCTTCTTCCAGATGTGTGACATTAATTTAGTTGATCCAAAACATGAACCGGTAGCTCCCACTCACTCATCACCACTGTGTGTGTCTGTGTGTGTGTGACATTTATTCTAGTTTTTTAATAATCACATACTCAGTAAGCACCTGCAACCCCACATTTTCATATGTTCTGTGTAATCTGAAGGCTTGGCAAGAGACAGAATTGATATTTTTCTTTTTTTAAAAAAACGGTGAAATAAAATTTCTCCTCCTGAGTTCAAGGTGGAGGAAAAGATGGAGCACTTAACGGGAGAAGAGGTGCATGATTCAAAAGGAGGAAAAAGCCGAGGAGTGGAGCAGGTTATGAGAACAGTCTCCACTCTGACCCGCAGAGCAGCGCCCCTGGACTTTCATACAATACTTTCCACCGGGGAGGAGAAGGGGGATACGGTGCATGGAAAGACAAAGAGCAGAAAAGGAAAAGAAAAAAAAAACGAGAGAGAAAAAATGAAATTAAATAAGAAGCGCGGAGGAGGAGGAGAAAGGAGAGGAGATGTAGGAGGACGGAAGTGGTTGATTGGTTCCCCCCAGAGATCCTTTTGTTTAGATTGTTCTGCATTTCACTTCTCTCACTCTCTCCCCTTCCACCTCCCTCTTCTCTGACATCTGAGGTAGATTACAACAGAGACCCCGGGTCACATTTATGACTTAAACCAAGAACATATGGTGTGTGTGTGTGCGTGTTTGTACGTCCATTTCGATGCAGTGGGATTCCCCTCCGGTCCCCGAGTGGTGGTCAGATTTATTTTCTTGTCCATTGTCTCTTGCTGGGATATCAAAGGACTATTGTTTGTTGATCAGCAAGGGTGCTGCAGGTTACTTGCAGGTCCCGGACGAGAGCAGCGCTTCGCCTCTCCTCCACATCTTCTTATCTCCTTCTGCTCCAGCTAAAATTTTTAAAGCATGTCGGGCCCCACCGCAGAAAAATCCCAGACACAAGAGGATCAGCGCTTCCACAAAAACCTTGTTTAGATTTGAAGAGATTAAGTGCGGTTATGTCTCGTTTGTTTTATTCAGGCCCTGACGAGGCTTGTTGTTAACGTCCCACAGGCTCCCAATTCGAACGGCGTGGCTTGGCTTTGATATAAAACTCTTAACCGTTACCACACATTTGCATGGCTGTCACACAGATAAGCAGGTAAAATAAAGTGAAACCTCATTAATTCCAGCACAAGAGCACATCTGTAAAAGTGTCAGTTGACTTTATTAGCATCGGCTTCACTCAGTTGAAGAAAAACAACTTTTGTCTTTGGAACGTTTACCATGGAAGAAAAAAAAAAAACAACAAAAACAAAAAGGATCTACAAAATAAGTTGTTGGAAGGACAATATATAAAACAATGGCATCAAAATAGATTTGACAAGAAAACAAAACCAAAGAAAAAAAAAATAAAGGCTCAAATATTTTTGGGATGCGGGGCATTTTCCTCTTTTTTTCTTTTTTCTTTCTTTGCCCTGTCGTTTACAAAATAATAACAAAAGAGGAAAATAAACAAAAAAAATATGTATTTACAGTGCATATATTTACATTAAGGCATTTTTTTTGCTGGGGAGAAAGACGGTTGATCTGATACAACCCCCACTTCTACACAATTAAATAAATAGTCAGATTTACCATGATACATTACAGTGCTATATTATCTTTATGCTACCTGCAGTGAATGAACAAATACAGTTATAGGTGAAGGCTGAATTACACCATCAAATGGACGTTCGGGGTATTAAAGGAAAGGTTCACGCTGTTTCCGAAACACTCACGTCCATATGTACATTAAAAGAGTTTGTGTGCCTATAGAGTGATTTTAAATTCAAGTGATGAGGGACAAAAAATCCATGTTCTGTGGGAAAAAAAACAACAACTTCTAAACTTCAACCAAGGTTGCTGTGATAATAAAACCACATGGATATCTTCCAAAAGTGAAGTGAACCTGTCCTTTAACAAAAAAAAAAACACACGTCCATGTTTGATTGAGCCGAGTAAACTGTGTACAGAGTCAGAGAGTTGGAAACCCCTCAGAGAATGGACTGTCACTTTAGTTAATAAGAAAAAAAAAAAATTCTACACGATGTCCGTGAAGTGGCCGGAGCCGAGCTGTTACCGTGATATTTTTTTTTCTTCTTTTTTCTCAACGTGAGTCTAGAGATTTCAGTAGATTAAGAAATAAAAACAGCACCATGTGTGTGTTTAACCGTCTACGCTGATCACAGCTCTGCTACCACACAACGAAAACACATGAACCAGAGAAGGAGGCACTTAATAAGGTGTTGACGACGACGACGGCGGCGGCGATGCTTTGGTTCAAAGAAAAAAAAAATAAAAAATCGAGATGTACCGTAGCAGTATTCTGAAAAGTTCACATGTGTGCATCAAATACGGTCTGTTTTTTTTTTTAACATGAATGAATTCTAGGATATCTATGGGTTCTGCTTACATTTCTGTGGTTGGAAAGCCATCAAAGGACAACCTGAATAATTCATCGCCTAATTGCTGCTCTTTAGCATCCATCCACCTCCCTTTGTTTCTCCTCAGACCTCCTCTCTCTAAAATCAAAAATCTTTCTCTCTCTCTCCATCTCCACCCCTCTCTCGTTGTTTTTTTTTTTTTTTCCCCTCCCTGCTCTATCTTCCCTTTGTCTCTCCAGAGTATAAATGCCTTCAATTTTTAATATCTGAACAGCAGTGATTTGTGTGGCGAGATCCAGTCCAGTAGTGATAATGATCGCTCCAGTGGTGAATGAGATACGTGGGCCCGTAAAAAGGCTGAGATTTAGATTCCCAATTTTAGTGCAAACCTAAGGATTTGGTAAAAAAAAATCTGGATTTTCCAGTTATATAAACAAAACAAACAAACCAATGAGTAAACAAAGATTTGGCTTGACTAGTTTTGCAAACAAAAGCTTCTCCTGTATAAAAAAAAAATGAAGTCAGTTCTACATATGTTAGAATAAAGACAAAAGATGTTGTTTTTATTCCAGTCACACAAGAGTCCAAATGGACTGGAAACACATTTTGAAGCTACCATTTATTTTTTTTGTTCTTTTTTGTTCTTCTTGTTCAAAGAAATCTTAACCTGGAGGTACCAGGAACTTTTTCTGGTCACTATATTCCTACTTTACAACCTCCATATTGTCCCCCCATGTGGGTTAAGAGCGACACGTTTGTTCGGCTACCGTTCGGCACCAGGAGGAGCCGCTCAGCGACGGGCAGCTTCTAAACGTTGTACTTGCGGGAGACGGAGTGAGTGCTTTATGTGTGACAAGATAGTGCTTGTATACGTCTGCGGCGATGTGTGCAAATGGCGCTAGTTCTGGTGTCTCTTCATGTGCAGGGCGAGGTGGTCGGACCGGGAGAAGGAGCGCGAGCAGACGGCGCACTGGAAGGGTTTGGCGCCCGTGTGTTTCCGGTAGTGGCGGGTCAGCTCGTCCGAACGAGCGAAGCGCCAGTCGCAGCTGTCCCACGTACACCTGTACGGCTTCTCACCTGCGGGACGAAGACAAAACAGCGTCAGCAAACAGTAGTGCGGAGCTGCAATTCTTGCTCAATCACATGACAGAGTGGAGTTGTGTCAATACCCGAGTGCTGATAGTGCTAAGGACGCTGATTACCATGAAAAAAAACGTAGGCTAATGCCCTGACTTAGATGATTCATGCAGTTGGGCGGAGGAACTGGGAAAACAAGCTCTACTGACAACTCCAGTCGTCCAACAACAAATACAGTCATAACACTGTCACACACAGGCATTCATCAAGCGCTGAAACACCTATGCTGCACAAGTTTCTCACGGCGACTGATCTGTATTGTCTGCCTTCGCTTCTGGGCATTTTACTTTGATGGATGTGACGTGTTTGTCTGTCACTCTTTCATTCCAGCTGCAGCCTCGGGCGCTTTGTGAAACCTAGCGTGACCTCTCGCCTTCAGGGCCACGGCCTTGCAGGTCTCGGGCCGGCGACTCGGCCACCGGTCCAATCCCACCGGGGGGCCTTGAGGAACTGATCTTTTGTGGTCTATCTGTGCGTCGACCAAATGCAAATTACAGAGGAGGTGAGGGGGAATTTCATTTGTGGCACCTGGATTTAACGACGCCATTCTAAAAATGAAACTGTACAAGTACATTAAACTTCAAAGGCAAGACCTTACAGGAACCACAGTGACATAACTGGTACATATTCCATGGTTCTTTGTGGACGCTTAAAAATGTCAACTATGGAAAGAACCTGAGTCTTTCTTAGCTGCTGTAGATTCAATTTAGTTGTATTCGTATAGCAGCAGATGACAACAGAAGTCATCTCAGGGCACTTCACATAGTCACGCTAAGAACTTATATTATAGAGAGAACCCCAAGAAATCAGCATTTAGTGATAGTGGGAGGAAAAAAAACACCCTTTTTAAAACCTCCAGCAGAACCAGGATCAGTGAGGGCGACCATCTGCCTCCACTGGTTAGGGTGAGGGTAAAGATCCCCCCTTTTAGCTTCATCTTTCTTTGGTTTTGCTCATTTTTTGTTGCATTTTAGAAGATAAATAAGATCAAATCCCACTCTAATGAACACTTTCTATTTTCTTTTCCATATAACTGATGAAAAGTGACTGTCAGCGATTGTGTTCTCAGAGATAACCACAGTGAGATCTGAAACAGAAACCGTGATTTCTATTTGAATGTTGCTTCTTCTTCTTCTCCCCCTCCTTGCCTTGAACATGTCTTTACATATTCAGAATGATCAAGACGTGAAATGGTCCCCATTACCCAGCTTCTACTGGCTTGAAAGAAATTAGCTTATTGGGTTTGAAAAGGATGAAGCTAATAATAATAATGATTGGAAAAATTTTCAACATATAACTCTGTTCACCTCCAATTAATTAGAGCAGTCGCACGAGAGAGATTTAATAAAACACGCAAAGTGCGCCTTTGTCATCTAGGTGAGCTTTAAACAAGCACAGCAGCGTTGTTAAAACAGCCACAGCAAACCTGTTGCCGAATTAACCGCAGCGTCGCCAAACTTAGAAACACACACACACACACACACACACACACACACACACACCTGAAACTGAACACAATGAGGAGAGACAATGAAAAGACGGTGAGAGAAAAAACAACAATAGAGCGAAGTGAGCGTTCACTTCTCACAATACACCCACAAACGCATCCATACATACACACACACACACACACACACACACACACACACACACACAAATAGACACAGTAACAATCAGGGTAATGGATGTTGATGGAGATTAGAGTGGGAACTCCCACTGGGACCCAAACGCATTAGGAATCATCTCATACAGATTACTGACAGGTGTGTGCTGAAGTGTCTGTGTGTGTGTGTGAGTGAGTGTGTGTGTGTGAGTGGGTAAGTGTGCATTCAAGCAGCTGAATCAGAGAAACAGAATGAGTAACAGGCAGTGGGGAGGTGGTGGGGGGTTCCAGGGAGGGTTGAAGGTGGGAGGATGGCACAAAAAAAAAGCAGAGTAGAGGATGATTAGACGAAATGAAAGGAGTAGAAAAAAGGAGGAAAATAACTAAGCAAGGCTGTCAAAAGCAGGAAGGATAAGCAGTTGCTGCTACACAACTTCTTTTACATGTCGTGCTCTCATCTTGCGGTCTGTAATAACTGCAATAACCACAATCAGCCTGCAGCACGAATGACGCCAGATCTAATTGTCTTGTCATGTTCCCAATGCTAAAATGCGAGGCACGCACACCCACACCGATGTTCTGAACAAGGAGCTCAGATTCACAAACAGAACACATTCTGGGTAAGAGCGAGTTGAGTGTGTGTCCAGATGAGTGAGGAATGCGTAGATATCAACAGAAGCCATGTTTTGTTAGCTGGAGTGAGGTGGGGCCCAACACCTAAGCACTTGTTTGTTGACTTTTTTCTCATCCAAAACCAATACCCGAAACGTAAATGTGCAACAAGCATGTACACGGAATAAAACCAGAGAATTAAACTGAAAGTCCGCACGGTGTTGATTAAAGCGGAGGGATCAGAAAACGAGACGAGCAAGATGTTTGGATCCGCGCAGGAACATTTTGAGTATATTTATAGCGGCAAACAAGTCAAACTAGTGTCGGTAGAAGCGTATTGAAGCATTCGAACAATTTCCGAACGGGCAAAGGAATCCTGGGAAAGACGGCACCACACGTCTCGCGCCCACCGCATAGTCTGAGAGTCATCCCCTGGCAGAAGTGTGTCACTTCCACCTGTTTTGATGGAATAGTATATTGGGCAGAGGATGGGAATGGGGTAGGATACTTTTACACACACATGCCAAGAACACAACACTCTGCCTAGCAACATGGTGCCAGTGCAGATACTGAAACACGAGTCCTGTGGGCAGCGTGGCTCTTTTGACGGGTCTTTTTTTTTTTTAAAAAGCGGGCATTAATTAGAGGAACACCTTACCCGTGTGAGTCCTGAGGTGGGCTTTCAGATGGGACGACTTGGTGTAGACCTTCTTGCAGCCTAACGACAGACAGACAGATAAACACAAACAGACGGCTTAATCCAAATAATTCACATGTGTCAGATATGTATTTAGCCAATAAGCCGAGCTGTGGTATGCGAGATATTTGGACTAATGAAGAACAGAAGCAGTCTGGAATGAAATATAGTAAATGTTTGTTTTTGTGGAAACTCAAAAAAGTGGTATCCTGTTCATCGAAACGTGTTAAAAAAGCAGTCGGATTTGGTATCATTCAACCGCAAGCCACTAATTGCACAGAATCCTGCTCGTCAGTCTGACGTTAAAAGTTAAGATAGTTTCGACAGTTTGCTCGTGATATTTCACACAGTGTCAAAAAGGTCATTAGGGTTTTTTTTTTCTTCTTTTAAGACGTTCTTCAGATTTGTTATGACTTTAAATAAGGAAATGATAGAATTTCATGTATTGCCAGGATTAAACTGTGAGCAGCTGCAGCAGTGTGACTAATATACACTTGGGTGAAATGTGAATCTGTGGATATGATGGATCTGCTTCATCTGACTTTAAAGAAGTTAGACGTGCGCTAACATGCTGCGGGAGTCTCTGCTTAAGCCTATTTTACATGCTGCCACAGGCTAGTTGACATTACATGTCCTACAAGTAGCTGCACATCATGCAGCTACAGCGTGTGTGTGTGTGTGTGTGTGTGCGAGTGTGTGTGTGTTCAAGCCAGTTAAAAAAATAAATACTTTAATCGGAGCGAGCGATCTCAAAGGTAACTGTATGCAAATGTGTGTGTGGGAAAAAAAGATCAAATGACTCCAGGAGAACATCTATCAACCCCACACACACACACATACACACACAGACACACACACACGGAGACAGGTTCATTCCACAATCATACCAGCGATGACTTTAAAGCCACAACATTGTGTGAGAGCTCGCGGTTCAGAGTGCCACGGCTGCATGAGGTGCCATAATAAATGCAAAGTACTTTTTAGCCAGATAGCTAATTGAAAGGCAGAGACGGACTGCATGGCCAAAATATTCTAATTTCAGTACAGCATGTTCTGTGCCGTGGCTGTAGCACACATCGTGACCCGGAGGCCTGGGGGAAGTCATTCAGAGCGCAACATATAATTTCCCAAAAATGCACGGGTGTCTTAAAATAAAGCTGGTTTTCATAAAGCTGACCTTTGTGAGTGACCAGACAATCACCTGACCACAGTTCAGTGAGAAAAAAAAATAAAACAAACACAACTACGGTGACGGCACACAGTGAGCACACACAGCGGGAGACGTGTGGTAATCTTCTAACCTGGGTAATCACAGTGGTGGATCCGTCGTTTCTCTAAGTCCGGGTTGTTCCTCCGGTTGTAGCGGACAGGCACGGCGTTCTGTGCTGGGGTCGGGGTTGTTGCGGGTGCTTGGGGAAGGACTGCCGGTTGGCCTGGGACCGACGTGGGACCTGCAGTGTGGGGCAACGCTAAGCTGCCTGGTCCCGGGCCGGGTCCGAGTCCAGGGGTGCTACCTGCCAGCTTGGAGGCAATAGTGGCTGCATATGAGGGAGGAGGGGACATGGTGTGGAGCAGCTCCTTCTGCCTGTCGGGGCTGCCGGGCTCCGAGCTCGGCGGAGAGGGCGGCAGGTATGGCGCCTGCTGCTGGAGGAAGTGAGGGCGCGCCTGAGAGTGAGGATGCGTGTAGACCCCACCGGCCAGGCCGCGGTAGGCAGACTTGGCAGTTTGCTCTTGTTGAGATGCCGAAGACGCTACTGGCAAATCGTGGAAAGGCGAGTGGATTGCGGTCGTGGAAGTGTGTTGTATCTGCTGCTGTTGATGGTGGTGATGCTGATGCTGGGCCTCCATGCCATTGCCGTGGTGATGATCCAAGCCGGAGTTTAGGAGCTGAAACAGCGAGCCGCCGTTGTCGTGGTGGTGGAGGGCGTGCTGCTCGAACTGCGGCGACATTTCCTGTTTGACAAACACTTCTGGCACCGAGTCGCCGCCGCGGCCGCCTCCCGACTGGTTGAAAACACTGGTGAAGTCCGGTAACCCTGTTAACGACATGTTTATGGCTGAGGTTTCCATGGCGATGCTGCCAGGGCCGTGCCCAGATGTGCTGCAGCTACTCGTGGGCGTAGAGTTGGGGCAGTGAGGCTCTAGGTTGGGGGAGAAACACGAGGAGGCGGATTCTGTTTTGATGTGGGGGAGACCTGCGTGGTTCTGGTGCTGAGGGGGCCGCGCTTGCTGGGAGAAGCCCATCCTCAGGTAGGCGACGTCGGGGAGGTAAAGATTCATGTTGAGGGTGTAGGGAGCCCCGGTGAGATCATCGGTGAAGAAGTGATCCACGGCAGACGTGCTGTCTCTGTGCGACTTCTGCTGGCTGTCTGCAGGAGGCGGAAGGTGGAGAGGCTGAGGCGAGAGGTACCGGTCCATCTCACACTTGGCCTGTGCACGGAAAAGTTAGAAAAAGACCAGTTTAGGAACAGAAAAGTGAAGCAAAGTTGGATTACATGAAATGCACCCCGCTCTGACTCCCCTTCGTGCTTCTCATGAGCAAGCACGAAACTATTCCGGAGCACTATTTTGAGAAGACAAAGGTTTGATAGGGGAGTCACTGCTGAAACATTTATCAAGTAGTCATCAATAGGCGGTTGCCACATTCCCTTTCTGCCTGCAAGGCTGAACTCAAAAACCTGCCAGCTGTGAGGCCAACGGTCCAGGATCAGATGTTCTGGTGTAAATAGAGAACCTAATACGTGCTCTCATGCAAACACGAGGAAATCTGCACATGGGCGCTTGTGATAAGACTTAAAAGAAGCAGCCCGATCAAACCGGGAGCGAACAACTCATGCCTAATTCATTTTATTGTCCAACTCCTGCGAATCTGGAGGTAAAAGTTGGAGGAGCCCTGCAGCAGAGGATGAAACAGCAACATGAAAGGGAATGGGGAAACACCCATGCCTCCCTGTCCGCTGCAGCAGCAGCAGCAACAGCAGCAGCAGCAACAGCAGCAGCAGTCTGGGGATGGGCTGCTATTTGAGGCTCCTGATCCTACCAGCTGTTATATAGACCTCTCACTGCTGCTGCACAAGTTTGCTGCTAACCGGGGAAGAGAGAAGGGGGGTGAAGCAGGGAGAGAGGGAGGGAGGGAGGGAGGACAGAGTTGCCGGGACCTTTTCTAGTCCGAAGTCAGTTGTTGTCAGCGTGGTATGATGGTGAGAGTGGACGCCAAGAAGAGATCCAACAACTGGTGGCCAACTGGCTGCTACAGAAAACATGCAGTGAATGCGTTTGCAGGCGGATCAGCTCGACTACGCGTCCAGCTGGTCGCAGTCTGCTCGCTTATTACCGAAAATAGTGCAAAAAAACAAAAGTGATGATTAAGGGGGTCGATAGGAGGAGGAGGAGGAGGAGGAGAGGGGGAAATCTGGAGGCCAGCAAAAAAAAAAAAAAATCAAGCAGGGTTTACAACCAATCTGCCACGCCCATTCAAAGAAACACATCACTAAAAATGTGTGATTTCTAGCCGGGGTTTACCTGCGTGTAGTCACTTTGTCCGCTCTTGTCCGCGTCGGGGATCTTGCAGTCCAAGCCGAACAGCGCCGAGTCCTCCAGGGGGAATCCGGCGGCCAGAGTCGCCTTCTGCAGCGGGTAGAAGGGGTCCTCCTGCACGCCGCCGCTCATCGTGAGTGTTGCGGCCATGAAGCTCCGACGCAGCGCCGCAAATGATCGCTCGTCGGTTGTTTATGCAAAAAATAAAATAAAAAATAAAAAAAAAAATAAAAAAAGAGGGGAGGATGCTACAGAGAGAGGAGCGGAGCCGACGAGGTGTAGTGTGGTGGAGCGATTAAAGTGTGCCTGTCGGCTACATCTCCTTCCACTTGTTTCATCCCTCCCGGCCCACAGACAGTTTTCTATCTCCCGTCGTAGGGCGGAGCGGGCTCAGTGTAAATACAGAGCGACGCGCCGCCCACCGAACCTTTAAAGCGCTTTGATCATTCATTCACTGGCCACCGCCCTACGCTCCATCCAAACACATTAACAACACTGTCGTAAAGCGTGCAGGACCGGCCAGACCGCAGCACAGCGCGCTGAAGGTTACACTCGGGCACCAGCCTGCTTAAGCGTTTTTTTTTTTTCTTTCCCCCTCTTCCTTTTTTATTTGTTGTTTTTGTTTTGGTGTTTAAATTTGAAAAAACAATGCATGAATCTGGAATTTGCTCCAATAGGAAGAAAGCATAAAAATAAATAAATAAATAAATAAAATCCTCATATATTGAATTATATGCATGTGTAATCCAGCCTCTAAAGTCAGCCTTAATCTAATCCAATTATCTACAAGATCTACTATTACATCATCATTTCTGATTTGAATATGCTTTGTGTTAATAATTACACTTAAGCAACTGTGATAATTATTATTAATACTGTAATAATTAGCAAGATAAATGTACTGGAGCAGAAGTATTAAGCAGATTAGGATGGAATTACTCAAGTTAAAGTATTTCTAAACTGTAATGAAGTACTCGAGTACATGTAGGTACAATATTTTAGAGTAAATAGTTAAGTTCTGAGAAATTATATAACAATAATTTAGTAAAATGTGTTAGATTAGTGTAGAGGAGCAGCAGATTAGGATGGAGTTACTCAAGTAAAAGTATTTCTAAACTGTAATGAAGTACTCGAGTACATGTAGGTACAATATTTTAGAGTAAATATTTAAGTTCTGGGAAATTATATAATAATAATTTAGTAAAAGGTGTCAGATTAATGTAGAGGAGCAGCAGATTAGGATGGAGTTACTCAAGTTAAAGTATTTCTACACTGTAGTGAAGTACTTGAGTAAATGTACGTATATTTTTAGAATTAATATTTTTAATCTTCATTTTTATTACACAGTCGTATATTATGGAGAGTCTTCTAATTCCATAAAATTGGGAAGTTCCAATAGATACCTCTTAAAATCAGAATGAAAAAACTGGATTCTATGTTTCTCAAAATCTAATCCAAACTATTTATTCCACTCCCATCGCTTCATTAAGGCCCATTTCTTCAAACACCACACCTCCAGTTTGTCACGCAAACCTCCAGTTAGACATTTTGAATCTCAAGTTCAGGCTGAGATGATTTATTTCCTCTTCCAGAGCCGCAGACGACTTAATACCACAATTTTCCCATTTTGCCTTTAATGACAAGTCAGCAGAACTTCCTCTGCAAAATTGGTGGAATGCCCCTTTAAAATGTGATCCTGGGGTATTTTAAACTGTTTAAGTTAAAAGCCCTCCCTCGGTTATGAACTGGATGCTGCACAGCGGTCTTTCTGCGCGGTATGAAGTCCTGTCACGCCAAGTCAATATCATTTATATCCCGTATGCCAAAAATCACACATTTATCGCACAAAGTACAGTTTATGAAGTAAAACACCCTGTGCTGTGGCAACTTGCAGGTAGATAATGTAGGCTTATTTAGAGGGTAAAAAAACACGCTAAAAAGAGGCAAACCGGCAGCTTCACAGCAGTCCTCTGGCCGAGTTTAATATGACACCAATAAGAACACGGTCTGAAATGATGAAGGTATGCCTACTATGTCTATATTTAAAGCCAAAGGAGCCTGAGCTCGCGCAAATCAAAGGCGGAGGTTCCTGCAGTGTTGTTTGTCTGTAACGACCAGTATCTGCAAACCTGGAAAAGATGAGGAAATAATGATAGACAGACCTAATAAAATAGACCACTGCCAAGAAAGAGGAATTTTTGGGCAGTCAGTTAGCGAGGAATGTGTACCCTGTGGAAGGGAGGTAATACCTCTGATTTCTGGACCAGGACAGAGAGAATTTATCCTCTGAACAATATTTAACCAAGCGTGAAAATAAAACAAAACACTCATATTCTGTTTGTGCTTTTATATTTGAAAAGGTAACATCTAAAAAGAGATGTCATTTACAAGTTTAAAGTACAAAAGCCTTGATAAAAAAACGACAATATTAAAGTCCTGAGTGAGCACCGGCAGTTACACAAACGTTCATTTGGGTTTCTGCCTCGACTTTTGGTACCAATCTGGAACTTCTTTATTGGTCTGTAAACAAAAGAGACAAAGAGGAAAAAATGATGTTAGAAAAAGTATGAAGTGGGTGACAGGAGGAGCTTTTGTTCTTTCTTGAAGATAATTTAACCTATTTGACTTTCTCATGATTCCAGCATATATATCACAACATATCTTTGCTCAGCTGACTGCGATGAAAAGCTCAAATCAAACTAAACGACAAAAAAAAGCAATTTATCATTTCCTGCCAGCCTCTAGCGCTCCTTTGTCTGAACCTCTGTCCGAGCAGGTTAAGGTTGGTGTGACTCATAAAAGGGTGTTCCCGAGTCAGACACTTACAAACACGGTGGGTTTAGGTTTGTTGGGCGATTCTTCTTCTGCGATCCTGCTGATACGTTTGGACTGCTGTTTTCCTGAACCGGCGCTCCTGATACCGGTTTTATCTGTTTCCAGCAGGTTCAGAGCGTCTCCCTGTCCGGATCGCATGCTGATCAGGACCTGTTTCATCACCGCTAACTCCTGGAGAATCACACGGTTCATAAAAATAGAGATATGGAAGCACGGGGAAAACAATAAATCAAGTTTCTTTAAAACATCTTGCGTGAGTCAAAGTGCTGCACATGGGAAAAAAATATGAACAAAAAGCAAGAGAGAATAAAGAAATCAATTTGTAACAAAAATAAAAAAAAACAAACAAACTTGTAAGATCATTTTTTTTAAATAATTAGAAAAAATTAAATATTAAGACCATTTAGAGCAAAGTAAATTCCCCGAAAACATGAACTTCCTGACATGTTTCTTTAAAATGTCAGTGGAGGAGGTACAGTTGATGAAAAGAGGAAGTCTTTGGAATCCCTGGATAACAAAAGAACTGGTAGTGCTAAAAGGGACAGAATTCAGCTGCCTAACAAGTTCGTTTTTGACTTAAGTTAGGGTGTTGGTGTGGTTATATTTAAAAATGAAATATTGATATCAAGACAATAATACATATATGATAATATTAGAAGGAATCCAGCACCAGTGACAATCTGGTCACACTCTGAAGCAGGAGCAACACACAGTACAGGTACAGACTGTCTCCCTACATTCATATTTGTAATTTATTTGACAAAAAACACGACAAAACACACAAGACAGTTAAAGATGAACTTGACTGATAACATTATTTAAAACCAACATTTCCACAATATCACTCTCATGAATTTTTTTTTTACTCCCATGTTTTTGTAGTAAATATCTGATACTGTTAAAACTCTAAACAGAATGAATGAATGAATGAAAAATACTTTCTTCATCCCAGAAGGGAAATTCAATTCAACAGGGCTGAATATGAATTTCTATAATAAATGTGTATTCTATCTTATCTCTTTTAGCAATTGTAAAAGATCTGCTTCAAAACATTTGTTTTCAAGAATTCCTATTGCTGATTTCTGGCGACATATTTGTCCTGAAACTCGGGCCGAGGCAGCTGACCTCTTGATGTCCAACTATGAGACGGCTTGTAATAAGTTTCAACGAGCTCAAGGGTCTGCGGGGGGGAGCAGCGGCGGGGCAGAGGGGAGGACTCTGGGCCATTTCACGGTTCTATTTATCACCTCTGAGGACATGAGCCCCGGCATGTCAGGAACACGCACGAGCACACACGCATACACAAGAGCTCGCACACGCAGCCTGGTGGCATCTCAAACAGCCAAGCGGAGGAACAGCTGTCTATGACAGGGCACATACTTCATACAGCAAACGGCTGGTTTGGGGGGGAAACACTCTGACGCGCACGCACACGCGAGCACGGACAGTCTTAAAGGAAATATATCAGCACGGTGTAACAACTTGTCTGGTGTGAATATGAAAAAATGACTGGTTCAGTTTAGCAATTAGGTGATAAACAGACAATTGAGCATCAACCAATTTCAGAATTGATTAATCTTTTGTCATTTTTTTAGGGAAAACATCAAATAATAAAAAGATGAGTGATGTCAATTGTGAGAACTATTTTCTGTCTTTAATTATAATCAAATATGTTTGTCATCTTGAGCTCTGGAATATTAAGACAGACATTTTAAACCGTTATCTAATGTTTTATAGCTGTAACTGATGATTCATTGAATTCATTTACAACAAATCAAGCAATCTGAAGATGTCTTCCTGCGCTTTCTGAGACTAAATGAGTATTTGAGAAAATAATCAGCAGGTTATTTGATAGGGACGACAATCATTACACAGATCCTAAACATAGGGAACACTTTAACGTCAAACATCCAAACTGTGTGTACCTCTCGATGGTTGAGGAGTCGCTCCAGATCAGCAGCCATGTTGTTTTTCACTTGCTCCAGAGCACTTCGCTCTTTCCTCAGAGAACTGGGGTCACATCCGAGAACAGGTAAGGACAGAAGAGATCAGATCTTGAGGTAATACAAAACATAACTACTAAATTCCTTGGTGTTCAGTGTGTTTTACTTTCGTTCCGCCTTACTCGTGTCACGTTCGATATTGTACTAACTTTTTAATGCTTTACCGTCTTGGCCAGGTCTCACTCGAAAAAGAGATTTTAATCTCAAGGGACTTCCTGGTTAACTAAAATAAAAATCCCTACAGTTATTATTATAACAGAATTTCCTCATAGCAGTTTTTTTGTGAAACTCATTAACATACTTGTGACTTTAAGTAACAGTATTCAAAGCTTGGAGAAATAATGTACTGTTCTTGACGTAGCAGATGTGAACTGTTTTTTATTTTGCTTTCGGGCGGGGTCAGGTGAAGGTGGACACGGGATTCAATGTAAAGGTGTGGTGTACTCTGTATTTTGAATGTTATTTCACTTGTCTGACTTGACTGATGTGGAAAAAAAAACAAACAAAATGTGGCTTATTTCTATATGACCAACAGTCTGAAAGGTAGCAGTTTGGTTTCCCAACACTGAGAGTATGAATCACTTGCATATAATCATCAACAGCCATGCAATAAATTGAAAACATATGAGTCACGATTTTCTAAAATATTCAAAAATAAAATCCTTTAACAAGTGTGTGAGGCTTAAATCTTTCTTCAGTCTATCCAAATGTTCTTTCCTGAGGCTGTGTAACATACAAGCAGGAGCTTGTAATGGGGGTGCTTTAAAGCAAATCACCTTGCAGATCTTGAAATAACAGATAGCTTCACTGCTATTCACTGAGGACTCTCTGGGGAAAAAGAAAAAAAAGGCTTAAACTTCTTTTGGCCTTTGCTGAGATCCTGATGTTTGCCAATTTAAGCTGCGTGAATTTTGAATATCAACAAAATGTCAATACAAATAATAAACCGCAGACGTAAGCAAAGATGAAAAACGAGACTTTAGTACGTAAAGTGAGAATCTCCTGTGAGCTGCTGACATACAGATCGTCCCGTGCAGCCACAGGAAAACTTCAATATCTCTGTCAGATGGGGAGGTTTGAGAAGCTTGACAGCATTCAAAGGATTCCCCCCCCATCCCTCTCCCGCTTGCCCCAGGTGAATGCTCACTGGTAGTGAGCAGCAAGAGAAAACCTGCAGTCTGTCAGTTTGCATATTTGTCAGGCTAAAATCCAGAGGGCGACAATAGGGCTTCACAGTAGGTCAGTGTCAGGTAGCTGGAGGTGTGCTGATGGAACAGCTCACTTCTTGGGCAGAGATAAAGTCATGTGTGCATGCCAGAAACAAAAAGAGGGACAGAAGATGACAAAGGTAGATAAGGACAAAGTAGAGACACCCAAGGGTGGAGAGGGATGGCTGCGTGCTACCGTCACGAGTAAATTGCAGGATACAAAATGGAACAACTGAAATAAACAAAGAAAGTTTGGCAAGCAACACAGAAGGCTTAATTGCATTTAATTAAGCAGGTCGTTGATTTTCTTCTATTGCGTTCCAGTTTTGTGTAGTGTTTTCTTTCTGTGTGTGTGTGTTTGTTTACCTGACATCGTCCTCAAGTGAGGTGACTCGCTCCTTCAGCATGCTGATTTGGGAATCCCTTTGTCTCACCGTCTCGATCAGATAGCTATAAGGCTGCTGCGTCTGCTGTAACAGTTGGTTGGCTGCCAACAGCTGAGGAACAACACATGTACTTCATGTACTTTATACAGCAATTATGAAACTATTAATTTCATGCTGACCTGGATTCTTTTCCCTTCGCTAAATTATACATCTGCCAGTCAGGCTGACATTTTCCACACGTACGTGACTCATAAAAATTGGGGTGAGTTTTGTTTGGTGCAGCACCGAGAGGTACACACCTGTCATCCTGAAACTGAACAAGACTTTAATATTTGCGTGTAAAGGCTGATGAGGAACACTCTGAAACACATTTTCATGCGGTTAAAAATATGAAATAGTGCAAATCTGGCAATATTTGTGAATGACAACTAGAGTCAGTGGGTCCTTATCTCTGAAGTCATCAGGGGCAGCTTGAGGAGCCATAAATACGAGCTTTTATGAAGGCCTATCTAAGCTGTATCCTTTTTTGTTAAAAGCATATACAATATTGCTCAGCCAGTATCATGCTTAAAATCTGCTAAACGTAAGATAAAGTTCGGGTGTTACACATTAAACCGCTTTTACAGCCAGCCAGTAGTAAGTCGAACTGGGTGGGAGGGGAAGGACAATAGTTAGTTAGTCAGGGCATTTGTGTGGGTGGTTAAGTGGTTAACACCCTTGTCTTTCTAGTGAAAAGGAAGTATAATTTTTCACCCTTTGCTTTCATACTCAGTGAATCATGAGGTATTCCCAACGAGTGCCAGTCAATCACGGCTGACAGTTGAATGGCTGGCTTATTTAGTCTCAAATGTGACCACCTTCTCTACTCCGGCTTGCACAACCTCTCCTCTCATTGACATTATAATAAGGAGCGCGAGGAGAAGCAAGCGCACTGGCTGCCAGAGCTGCCATTCTCATGCCATCGAATCTTACTGGATGGCTGTCGGCATCGTTGCGTGAGGGGCAGACACGTGACGGCGCAAAGTCGTATGTGGACAAAATACACACGCCCGAAATTAAACTCGCTGTAAAGCACATGCATGTACATGGTGTGCCAAACACAACAAAAGCACAATGATTGGCGCAGTGAGTTGTTTGGAGAGTGAAGAGCATGGCCGTCATGGTTTTTGGCATTATTTCACGTTGTGTCAACAAGTGTGACAGGTACTAAAACTAACTTCATGCTGTTCTCATACGAGTCTGCGGTGTGTGTGCTGTCTGCTTTCGAACAACCTGTCATTTTCCTGGCACGTCTTCAAAAGCAGACTTAAGGATTCGACGGGGCCATTGTTAAACTTGGGGGACACCCTCGCCTTTGAGCCTTGCAGTGGGTTTGATGGTATCTACTGCTGTGTGAAAGTTTCACACAGGTGACGATGCTTTCAACAAAACAATGCCAAAGATGCATTCATCTACTACGTTCACTCAGACAGCAGTAAACGGATAACAATCTAAGTTAATCTATATTTTTAAACCAGCATCATCCCTGCTATGTAGATCTGCTTGCATTTTTTCATGGCACACAGCAGGCAGGTTGTTTTAAGGATCTTGCAGAGCTTACCGCAGTTTTTCTGTGGATTAAGGCTGTCTCAGTTGCTTCTGTCTCTTCATGTAATCCCAAACTGACTCAACAACATTAACCTCGTTGCTCTGAGGCGCCCATACATTTGTATTTCTAGTCACAGGCAAGAGTGCTTTATTACCCTGCCTGTGACATAGGGGTTATTATCATGCTGCAGCTTGTAACGTCTCTAAGGTTTATGCACAGGACTGTATGCGGTGACGGGTTTCACAAGCTGCCTTCATGTCACTCATTTTGAGAAAAGTCACTCGGCTATATTTCAGAGGATGTGCTCCCACCGCTGACCTTCACCGTAGATGGTGTGAGAAGGTAAAGGATGGATGATGGCTCTACAATAATGACTCTATTATGTCATGAGGGAGAGCTAAAAGCCAGTTGAAATAAATCATTATGACTTTGATAGAAGCTGTGGAATAACCGTAACCTGAGTTGCTGTAGGACAACTGTGATGGTGGGAAAACAAATGTGATAGCAGGTGCTGACATGCACTACTTGGAGTTTTTGTTTAAAGTGAACACTAATTAAATTCGGCGTACTAATGATGGTCCCCGGGCAGACACACACCCGAAGATTGTGCGTCTGTGTGTTCGTACCTCCTCGGATATCTGTCCTCTCTGTGACTTGTGTGTATCCAGCTCTCTCCTCAGTGACGTATTCTGCCTCTCGAGCTGCAGCACCCTGCGGGCCAGGTGAACGCTGCACAACAGCAAGCACAGTTATGGAAACCCCAAAACATGAAAACACCAACAAGTTTACACTAGTATGTATTTCACCGTTGTGGGTTCAATTTAGGTTCTTGGTGCACATTCAAAATTCAAATCAAAGACCGAATATATACACTGACTATTACACACGGTTTGATCCAACTGCAGGGGTTCGTATTTAATAATAATACATTTTATTTAGAGGCGCCTTTCTCGGCACTCAAAGACACCGTACAAACATTACACAAAAAATAAATAAAATCACAAAATTAAACAGAACAATAAGCTTCAGGTGGAGTAGGCAGTCCTAAACAGATGAGTTTTAAGTTGGGGGAGTGAATGGATGTTTCTGAGTTGGGATGGTAGTGAGACGGGCAGAGGAGACGGACAGGTGTATGGAGGAGGAGGATCTGAGGGAGTGGGAGGGAATGTGAACATGGAGGAGGTCAGAGAGGTATTGAGGCGGGGGGGAAGAGGTTGTGAATGGTCTTAAATGTTAACAGGAGGATTTTGAATTGGATGCGGAACTGAACCGGAGGCCAGTGGAGCTGTTGGAGGACAGGAGTGATGTGGCGGATCGAGGGGCTTCGGGTTAAAGATGTTTGTGACAATATTACAGCATGAAGGGTAGAAATTCCCCAACATAAGAATTGAAGAAGAAGAAGAATGCAAGTTGGTACAAACTGCAGGTTTCAAAAAACTGAAAACTGTGTTATGTAGGATGGTGAGAAAAGCTGAATATTCAAATACAGAAAATACCATTACATTTTGTTAAGTCTTCTGTGCACCAAGACGCTTTTTTTAACATCACCACTCAGAATGTGCCCTCTCCTTAAAATGTGAAGGTGATCTCATGTACCTCTGCTTTAGTCTCCTCTTGGCCGTTGTGGGAACATTGGCTCCGTAGCCGTACGAGAACAGAACTCTCTCTGCCTCCTCTTCATTTTCAACTGGCAAAAAAAACAGAATCACAAGTACATATAGTAAACATATGGCAACATATGGTTGATTTTTATCGGTCTTGCTCATGCCAGGCATTGAGAAATATGCAAATCCACTCAATAAAAACTGTAGTAAAACTCTGTGGCTTCACTTTACATTCTTTGTCAATCTTAGAAAAAATTTGGCTACATTCTGAATCCAATATAATACTATCTGTCATTTTAATTGCACACATTATCCGATGCCAGACTCCAGTTCAATGCATCTGAAAGAGATCGATGTCTGTTTGTTTATGCTTCTGTCATTCTGACTTCGCAGTAATGTGTTTAGTGTACTGGCTGCTACAGAGCTACTGCTGCCTTCTTACTTTCAGCAGCCTGCATGGTGATCTGGTCCAACTCTTGCTCGAGCTTTTCGTACGTCTCCAGTCGAGATGCCTGCTCGGCATTCTGAGCTTGCAGCTCCGTCACCCGCTTCTCCGATGACGTTTGTAGCCTGTAAAACTCCTGAGTGAGGAGCTGGGGGACGGGGGGGAGAGGAAGAAGAGAGGGGGGAGATAGAGAGGACTGAGTCATTTTCAAGTTGTACAAACATACAACCCTGAGCAAATGATACACTACATTTATGTAGGTACTGCATTTTATTCCTGATCATTTAATACTTGATTACTTTATTTTGCATTTACTAGAAAACAGGTTTTCTCTACCATTCACCACTCCTCATTTTCACACATATACTGGACAAATGCAGATATATATAAAAGAAGAGGCAGACAAAAGATAGAGAAAGTAGGACAAAAAGAAAGATTTAATATAAAAAAAAAAACCCACAAATTTTACTACTGTCTTTCCTCGTCTTTGCAATTTTAATGAAGAGTGGACTCGAGCCTTAAGAGTTTCATTTTAGAAATGAAATCCTCAAACAAATTCAAAGCTCCCCTCTAGTCATGTTTTAAGACAGAGAAATACTCTGCTTTAAATAATTTGATATCTTTTACGCACATACACCTCAAATACACAAGAAATACACACTCAAATCAGAGTACAAAGAAGTGGGAAAAAATCAAGTGGGTGGGTTATTCTCTTTGATGAACATGAAACAGGCCTCCACAGGGTGCAATGAATCTTGATTTAAGAATGCTGGGAGGTGTAAGTAATTATAATCATTTATACAAATGGCCTTCATCGTCCAAGTAAAGCATTTATCTTGTCAAATGCAGCAAAACATCATCTAGTATTCGACCACTAATTGCACCTGTATAAGAGCAGAACCTCAAGCACTGTGTACACTACGACATTTGTATAATTAACGAATATGCAATAAAAAATACGTCAAAACATGACGATAAACCACATTACGTGACAACATTGCACCACATTTTCGTTTTCTTTTCCAGTAATAATACTGATTATTGCTAAGCGATGAAAATGTTTACAGTAGGGTTAACTGGGATTTCTTATTCTGTTAATGGAAAAAGTGCAGAAATTGTATTATTTCCATTAAACCATCTGCATGCTGGATAATCAAGTTGTCTAGGCTTCAAACTCAGGAGCAATGTCCACACAAAGCGAGACTGGATCATAATACACTGGTATCTCACTGCGCATCGTCTCGCCTTTTTTTAAATCTCAGTACCTCCAGTTTCTTCTGCTGTTTCTCACACTCCACTTGACATTGGGCCAGTGTCTTCGCTGTCTCATCCTTGACCATATGGGCGCGCTCAGCTTCGAAGGAGTGCAGTTTGGCCTGGTTGGACAGTTCTGCTACCCGGCTGTCGGTACCCAGCTGGAGCTGACGAAACCTAGAAGACGGATGGACGGAGACAAACAGACAGTCACTGCTCAGCTCACTGAATACGAATGCAAGTATACGTGCACTTAAAAAGTCAGATTCTGTGTTGAGGTGCAGATATGCGCAGTAGGACTGGACCCGAATAGCCGAATAGCCGACTATTCGTTCGCTGTGCTGGAATCCGGATATCAATTTTGATCTCCGAATATCCCCCTCCTCCAGTGGAACGAATACTCACCAGCCACCCCCTCCCAACTATTCGTCACTGCTTGGGCCGAATATCCGGAGAAAACAGAAAATGCCATTCGGACCAGCCCTAATGCACAGATAATAAATTAACTGTGTACACCTCACACAAAGGGTAAACTCGGATGTAGGCCACCGGTTGAGCTCAAACATGTCTGGTGGTTTTAAACAAATGTTGCAATCCAATTACACATGACGATAATTCGCTCGATAACTTGCTTGTTTGGAAACCGACAAGCAAGCGATTATTTGGTGAGCCTTGCGCAACGAACAGTTTATGAGTTTTTACGCTCAAAGTGTTCCGTGGCACCGTACAGTTTGGCAAGTACAATATTATTCTAAGCCACCAAGCAGGAAAGCCAAGTGCTAAATCATTTCGTTACAGAGGAGTATTTCCCAACGGCGCTCGCAGCAGTGTTTGGTCTTGTTAGATCTTCAGTGAGTCTAGTTGGCAGCAACAGAAAGGATTTTCTATTTAAGAGTTTACTACCTGAAAAAGGAGAAAGAAGGACACAGAACATTTTCTATAATGTTTTATATGATGCATACGTAATATAAAGACGACTGGAAGCGTCTTGTTTTCTAGAAAGAAACGATTGAGCAAACCTTCTGTGTGCTCAAATCAGAAATCCAATCAAACACTGACAGAGGTGCTGGATCATTTTAATAATAGCTTAATCTTCCAAGTAATTTATCAGGTAGAAACATGCCAAATATTTGTTAATACCTTCTTGCCAAATATGAAAATGTTCTACTTTGCTTTGTTTCACATCATCTTACATTTATTATCTTTGGCTTTTGGATTTTTAAAAAATTATCCAAAGTTTATGCTCTTGGAATTTGTGAATGGCTTCTTTTTGGGGGGTTGCGGGGCTCTTTAAATATTTTAAAGACTAAAAAATGAATTGTTTAATTTCAAACATAATAAACTGATCAAGAGATGATGAAAATAAGAGTTTGCTGCAGCTCTAAAACTACAAGGACAGGCAACGGTTTCCGAGCCCAGTGCTCCTCAGACAGCTTTCAAGCGTGCACACAGACTATCAAGCCATGGAGGTTGGTTGGATAATATTAATAACTCTCGATTACAGCTGACCTGATAAGATTTCATCATCCATAGTGCGCAGGCCTGAGCTATGCGCTCAGTGACAGACATGTACACATGGCCGACATTTTATGCCTTCTTTTATTAATGGTGGCTGCAATCTAAAAGCAAAGAAGCAACATTTTCCTCAGAAGAATGCGACTTATTTTTCCAGAGGGCTGTAGTCGGCCATGGTCTCTCTCTGTCCTTTCAAATGCCAGATTTAATGGCAACATTTACAGCTACAGCAGGTGAGAGAACCTGACTCTGAGGCTCCCCGAGGCAATTTTGTCACAGCAAGTTTAGGTCTGCTGGGGAGGTGAAAACGGAAAACTGTACTCAACACTTTGCCTTTGTTTTGGACAATTTGATCGCCGTAAATGGCCTCTTTAGCCAGTAATCTGAAATAGAGCGCCGAGATTCAAGCTGGCCCTCTATACTTCAATCATCTGACGCCATTTCAAGCTTGTCCCCCTCATTCTTTGCCCCAAAAATAGGGGCATGCGTGGGGTTAGGGGTTAAGGGCTTGAGGCTAGCATCTGTCGTTGCTGGCTTGCGATGCGACGCGGAGAGGGAATGTGATCGCTGCAGAGAGAGAGTGCAAGAGAGAGTGAAGTGTGTGTGTGTGTGAGTGTGTATGGAAAGACCAACAGCTGGTAGTTTGGATCTAGAGAAATGACTGGCATGTAGTAGTAACCCAGGACAGGGACACTACTACTGCTGCTGTTGCTGCTGCTGTGTGTGCGTGTTTCTGTCTGCCCGACGCAGACACAATAAAAAAAAAGTTAAAATCAAAAATGCTTCAGATTATTGAAACAAGAGAGAAAAATGAACAGATGTTGAGGAAACACATTTCTCTACGTCATTAATTTCTAAACTTAAAACATGCATTGATTCGAACCGTGTGTGTGTGACTAAACAAATCGGATGCAAATGCACAGATTTGCTCATAATGACACACGTGTACGTAAGCAGGAGAACTGAAATGCCTCCTCCAATAGGAAATAAAACGAAGTCTTAAAGTATTTGTGTGGGTGCAGCAGGGCTCACAATCTATCTGTTGCAATTTCCATGTAAGATTTGAAACTTCCGACAAGGCCTTGACCCAGAGGCACCTTTGGAGGCTATACCGAGATGGGCATTGTTGCCTGGAGCTGAGATGAAGACACAAATCACGAAGTGTGGAATCGGAAAATAACTAAAAAGCTAAATTAATTTTAAATACATATTTAAACTCTGGGAAAAAAAAGTAAAAAACTGAATACCACAATATACTCTATTTAAAATCATTCACCACAGTGTGATGAGTTTTCCTCAGCATATAAACTATCTATAGCATCTTGTCTCTCGTTTTGCTTTCAACCCGAAGTATTTCACTCCTGAGACGCAGACAGCCAGGACAGTGTTACCTATTAGGACTAAGCTGACTTTAGGTGAACTCTGACTTCCAAGCGACCTTCTGATCCCTCGGTTACAGCAAAGAGTTCATGTGATCTTTAGTAAGAGACGGTGAACCACAACCGCCAAAGTCCTGCCGCGCCCACAACATTCGCTAATGACAGCCTGCCACTGGCTCACACATCAGCGTCAGAGCAAGAACAAGCTCACAGCTTTCAGGGAAACACAAAGGAATTCAAGTGGAATAAAAACTTAAAGGTTATAATGACACACACATAAACAGCTTAGTCCCAAAAGCAGCAGTGATGCTTTATTAATCACTCTAGTCTTGCTTTGGCCACCCCCACGCAGACACACACACACACACGACATACCAGCAGTCGGCCAACAAAGACAAGGAATGAATTTAAAATATGATGCTGGTAACTGTGACGACAGATAATTGTACCAACTGTCCTCGGTTGCCCTCAGGTGAGGTGTCTTAATTTTCCATTACAAATTCCAAGTAACCTACTTTTGAGTGAAGCAGTTGCAGCTGTTGAACACGAGGGAGTGCACCGTGTCACATACTGGTGATGAAACGCTCTTCCTCAAATAAAAGCAGCTGCCAGTAGTCATAAAACAACTACGCACAAGTAATTAAGTACTGTACTTATTTAGGTTTTTAGATCATTTTTAGATACTTGGCCATTTGTGGTATTGCTAATTTCACTTAAGTAAGTAATTAAAATACTTCTTTTATGTTGTTTACAGTCTCCAATCATGAACCACATTACCAAAAACAGATTCTCAGTAACTTCTAGTGGGTATCTGGCACATGGGTAGACGTATTTGCCCCGTTCTTTTTTAGGTACCTGTTGCTTTGTTCTTCCTCCAAACCAATATAATACAGGCTGACAGAATTTTGTTCATCATAACAAAATAAACCTGATTTATCTGACGCACAGCTGAATACCACTAAAGTGAGAAACATGCTATTGTAAAATAGATGACCTAATCTTTGATTGACAACTTTATTGTGTGAAAAAAAGCCAAGTGCCTCTGTGTCATGGCTCAGTGCATATCAATGAAGCATTGCGTAAACTGTGTGTAACAAATTTGTATGTGTGTGTGATGAGTGGGAAACTCACTGTTCCAGCAGTTGGTCATATCTGGACTGAGAGTCTCTCTCGGCAGCTACTGCTCTGTCCTTCTCCAGCACCGCGTTGTCTCTGGCCTCGCGTAGATTCCTGGTCGAATACAAACACGGCAAAGAAAAAAAACATCCCTATTCCAAGCAATTGCCATATTCTGTGATGCAGTACATTTAAAAAAAAAAAAAAAAACTTTGAAGGTCTGTTCGTAATCCTTTTATTATGAGGCTGCTATAAAACACAAGCTCTTCCTCCTCTTAGATATTTACATATGTGTGATTTAATTTAGCAGCTCCCCTATTACTAATGATGAAGTAAAACAGAAAAAGATAGTTTAGACATTAACTTTACTAATTCTAGTAGGTGCACAGTTCCCATCTTCCCTAACAGAGTGCCACAATTTGTAAATATACACATGAATGCTAAAATCTTGCCTGAAAATCTGTCTAATACTTGATATGCTATCTTCAGAATGTGTGCCTTCCTCTGATTTTCAAACATTTTCTCACAAGTTATATAAAACAAGCTTTCTACCTGTTCTCCCTCTCGTACATCTCCCTGGAGGTTCTCTGCAGGTTGTCTATCTCCTGGCTGGTTTTCAACCTGATGTTCTCCAACTCCTCTCTCAGCTTGGCCTCGTACTCTGACTTGTAGTGGTCTCTGTGGTGGGAAGAAGATGAAAAAATAATATGAACAGAGTTAAGGAAGGAACATTTTCTTTAGATGTTTTCTTCACACGGGTCAGCTCACAGGAGAGATCATAATGCAGCTGGCAGATCTTCATGTACAGCAAGACAAAACTTTGTGATTTTTGAGGGCCGTTGTTCGGCGTCAAACTGACATTTTCAAGTCTTTCAAATTTAAAACACTAGAACATTTGCCGCTGATGGTTGGGGTAAAACAAAACTAACCTGGATGCTACATATCTTTCGTAGGCGTCCTCTCTGGCTTTCTTAGTGTCTTCTAATTGTACCTGGACCACAAAAACAAGAAGTGAGAGCGCAATAGATGAAACATTCCTGTTACTGAATGCCTTTTTTATTAGATGAGCATCCTAGTTATTGAACTGTATGGACCTGCAGCCTCTCAAGGCGGTCTTCTTCGTGTGCACAGCGGATACTGAGCTCCATGTTCTGCCGGTGTAGGTACTCCTTGTCCTTCTGCAGGAGAGTAGCTGATTGCTGCAATGTCGCCACCTGGGGGACAAGAAGAGAAAATGTAAAAGAAATAATAAGAAATGTTAATGAGGATTATGAAGAATGAATACAGTGAGTGGGTTTGTAGGTAAGTGTGATGCACCTCTTTGCTGAGTGTGTTTCGTTCTCTGGTCACTGCAGCGTGGCTCAAGTCAACAGTCTCATATCTCCTCTTTAACTCCTTCAGCTCTGCTTCGAAGTTGTCACGCTCTCTATAAATCACAACAGAACAGGTTAAAATACTTGTAGCACACAAAACCCAAAGCAAAACCAGCTGAGTTCAGTAGGTCACCTACGACTCTGGTCACACAGTAAAACTAGTCGGAAACCAATTCCAAAGAAGAATACAGTAACACAGGATTGGTTCTATAGGTTTGTTTTAGAAATCTGAATCTGTGTTTATACACTGCAGCTTCATAGTGGAAATGCTCCTCCATTGCAATGGCTGCTTATTTCGCTCTTCTTTGTGTTATTTAACATATAGAAAACCACCATGGACACATTAACAAGGGAAAAATAATGCGATTTTCACCAGAGGAGGTATTTGAAAATAAGAAAAATTAAAGTCATTATGTTCCATTTGGGGCTGCAAGGTGGCGCAGTTGATTAGCACTGTTGCCTCGCAGCAAGAAGGTCGCTGGTTCGCTTCCCGGTGGGGGCACTGCAATTTTTCTGCGTGGAGTTTGCATGTTCTCCCCGTGCAGTGTGGGTTCTCTCCAGGTTCTCCGGCTTCCTCCCACACAGTCCAAACACATGTTGAAATTCTAAATTTTCTGCACAAACAAAAACTGACCANCAAAGGCTTGTGACTGCCTATTTTTCCTTCACAGTCATTATGTAATAAACACGTTTTGTGGTCCATAAAGTGTTTGATGCAAGAATCAAATAGGAAAAAAAAAACTGTCCATACATTGATTGACCCGTACTTTAAGTCGCCAGATCAACAGAGGAGTCACCCTTTTCCTTCTGCCACACAAACACACACACACCGTTTAATGTTTGGGTAGTTCTCTCTGCGATAGTCTCCCTCTTGGATCTGCTGTTTGGTATCAGCCAGCTCTAAAGTCAGTCTCTGGCACCTCAACTCCAGATCTGTACGTAACCGCCGCTCCTCCTCGTAACTCTGTGGATAATCAGAGGAAACAATGGCAACATTATACAGAGTGGAGTGTGTTATTAAATGCTACACAAACACCTTACATTCTCCCAGACAGACATTCAACAAGAATCACTGCCTAGTAAACGTCCATCAGCATCTTGCTCCATGCTGGCCTTAACAGCCTTACACAGCTCCTACAGATTCTCAGGTAGCAAAATCAGGCCCTATTCTGGCATCCATCTTGTGCTGATGGGCAATTTCTCTGCTGGACATTTCCACGTGAAAAAGGAAAGTGGTGACAACCGAGGAAAGCACCTGTTCAGCAACATTGTTAAGATGCTCTATGGCAATCAAACGAGGCTCATTTATCCTCAAAGTGTCCCACGAAGAAATCATTCTCGGTGCTATTATACCGCCAGCAGCCTGTGCCTGTATTTATGTGATTTTTCTTCACCATATTCTCACCCTGCCTTCAGCGTGTTGCATCATTATCTCATCAATGTGTCGTTTATGCCTGCAGGGTAACTGCTGACGATATTGACAGGATGGATTTTGTTGCAATTCACACTACTCTCAGCCTAAACACCGCAGGCTGTGAAAATGACCATTTCAAGGACGCTGTAAGTGACACTCTTAGCATGAAGACAACATGCTTTAGATGGTTTAAGCCACGTGTCCATTTCACATTTTCCCATGTAGCTTGAAGGTGACCGACCTTCTGAACCCTCCGCATTCTTCGTGTCTACGCTTTGTGAATAAATGACCTCAACCTGAAAGTGTTTGTTCAAAGCGTTTTTGTTCTTGAGTGTTTGAAGACAACTGACCGGTATGCCGGACTTGTTATACTACAAACACGTGAAAAGGTGACAAAGTGCAGCGCCTTGTAGATATGCTCCACAAACAACTTCGACAGGTCTGTTTACTTAGACTGTACACACTTTATGATTTGAACAGCGATGAAAGAGTGACAGACAGAAATGGTAATAAAGTAAATAATAATGCTAGACGTGTAGACGATAATGTCAAAACACATGAATAAGAAAAGATGAGGGATGATGAGAAGAACATGAAAGTGCAGTACAAGGTTGTGCATGTGTGCTGTACCTCCATCAAAGCCTTCGTCTTGGCCCTGTGTAAATCCAGCTCCTCGGTCGCATTACCATTTTTCACGCTGAGATCAGTCAGCTGAGCCCGCAGAGGAGTCACCGCCTCATAGAAACGCATCTAAACATACAACACAAAGAAAAGTCACCGTGTCCCCTGATGCAGAGGATCTCTAGTGATGATTAAAAAAGGGGGGTTGGAGTGAAGAGAGAGCTCAACTTACAGCTACGTATTCCTGTATGGAGATTTTGTCCTCAGGGAGGTCGCGGAGCTCCTGGTACCTGTCCTGGGAGATGTCCAGATCCCTGAGAGACCTCCGCAGCTCTCCGGCCTTCTCACACAGCTGGCGGTTAGTCTCCTCCAGCTGCTGCTGCCTGAGCAGGATGGCCTCCATCTCTTGCTTACGGAGAGCCTGCTGCTTCCTGGTGATGACAATCCACATTAAAAAAAAGAGTTCACATTTTGATTGACAGGACAGATAGTACTGGTATAGTTTTTGTAGTTAAACATTTTTCTTTCATGCTCATAATATATATACATCACTGCATGTGCTTTCCCTGTTTACACATGCAGTATATATGAATAGGCAGGGCTACCACTCATTATCAATCATTGGATCATTAGTAGCAGTCGACTTCTTTTATTTGCAATATAAGCTTCATTTCAATACTTATTGCATAATAGATATAAAACATGTGATGGAGCATTACCACATGAAATGCCATCAAAGGAGTGACAGCTCTATAGGGAGGACAGCAAGAATTTGTAAAACCATTGAAATAACATTTTAAACTGTTAAGATGTGCTGCATAACATCTATCTTCAATTGCAGCTTTTGCAAATTGCTAATTTTATTGCTTCAAATTACAATTTTGATTTGAAAATGAATGATTATTTCTTGTTCAGACATTTTCTGACTCTACCTTCCTCACTGAGTGTGCGCATTCTTCATTGGATATGACTTTGTGTTTAGTCAGATGCGCGTTAAAAGTGGTTGAGCGTGATGACTGTCTAAACACTACATGACTATAAAGCTGAACAAAATTACTGAAATTAAAAAAACGTGGGCTGCAGGGTGGCTCAGTGGTTAGAAGCAGCTAGAAGATCGCTGGTTCGCGTCCCAGTGAGAACACCCTGGATCTTTCTGCGTGGAGTTTGCATGTTCTCCCTGTGCAGCGTGGGTTCTCTCTGGGTTCTCTGGCTTCCTCCACACAGTCCAAAAACTGTTAATTAAAGGTTAATTGGTGGTTCTAAATGTGCTTGGTTGTCTGTCTCTAAGTGTAGCCCTGTGATAGACTGGTGACCTGTCCAGGGTGTCCCCTGCCTTCACCCTAAGTCAGCTGGGATAGACTCCAGCCACCCGCAACCCTAGTGAGGATTAAGCAGTGTACAGATAATGGATGGATGGATATCAAATGAGAGCCATTCTAGTTTTGCTTAAATCGTTTAGGTCTGTTCACTTTTGTGCAATTTTGCATGTTTTTCAAATAACTGCACACTTTCACAGTCTTGCAAATGACTACTTTTCTTTGGGAACATTTATTGATATTTCAAGACAACAACAGAAACCACATCAGATGGAACTGTGTCAAACTAAAGCCGATAAATCAGCAGTAACTCTGGAATCTCAGCTTTAGTTTGTTACAGGATTCTGTCCAGCAGGAGTCCTCCTTTCTCACCTGTTCTCCTCCTGAGCAAGTTTCAGCTGGCTGTCCAGCCTCAGGGACAGCACTTGTTTCTGGTGTAGGGTGTCATTCAGCCTCTCCTCCAGCTCCTCAATCTAAAACATGAGACATTTCACATCAACATACACATGCATGGAAACAATCACAAGATCATTACTGCAACAGTGATATGGCAGCCTCTGTTTCTCCTAATGTTACTGATATAAACTAACAGGACAACCTGGGACTAAGGTACACCCAAATATTCACATCAACACTGTCCATCGTTGATTAAACTCAGACTGTGCAGCATCCCTGTCTTCTACAATAACATACAAAACTGTCCTTTCAAGTTATCCTTGAAATACTTTAACCACAGAAAGAAAAACAATCCAGATTAGGAAGCACAAAGATTCAATTAAAAAACTGTTTCGCAGGTGGAGTAGTTAAGGTTTTTTTGCATCATCATGTGCAACATTTGATTGAAATCAGTATTTTAACTTTTTACCCAGTGTGTTTGTGCTTAGTAAGTTCATCTCTCCTACCTTGGACATATGGTCGGCCTTCATGTTGTCTATGATGAGATTCTTCTGAGAAAGCTCGATTTTCAGCAGCTGGAGGTTGTGCAGCAGCTCCTTCCTCTCGATCAGCTGACGGGTCACCTTCTGGGAGCCGTCCCGCTGCTCGTCGGATGAGGACACATCCTCGGTGGTGGGCACGGTGGTCTCCAGGCTGATGTCCTCAGACTCCAGGTCCAAGGAGCTGGAGACGTTGGCAGCTGTCGGCTTCAGGTGCAGCCTCTTCGGAGGCATTTTGTACCGGTTGCTGGTCCTGGACTTTGAGTCCTCCTAACTACTATTAAGTGGCAAGCCAAGCAACCGGTTACTGCAGCATTTTATTTTATAGTAAATCAACAGTTAATCGAAGACATCGCGATATGTGGCACTTAAATGTTACTTTGCAGCCAGAAGAAGCGAAAACAAACCCCGATCGAGCACGTTTTCTAGCTAAATCGTTTAAAAATGGCCACCAACGCACTCCTACCTAAGTAAAAATGATATAAAAACCCAGTGTCGCGTTAAAGTGACAAGAGTACACGGTGAATTGTTTTTATTTTCAAGGGTCCCGCTCCCAGCAGCCTGCTAACCGCCCAACGGCTTGCCTGCTATGTGGCGTTAGCTACAGCGCCCTCTATGCCAACACAGGTGCAGTACAATCAACGCCCTCTCCACTACAGATCATTACGACGCAGGTTCATGCAGTACCACCTCCGAACACAAGAGGCGCTGTAGCTTTTATGAACATGTCCATTCAGTCCTTCTTCTGCTGTCATCTGCTTTGTTTTCATCAAACAACTAGATGGTCAACCAAAAGTAACTCAAAACGTTATTAGCATTTTACTTGAAAGACGAAAAATAGCACTGTATGTTTTTAGCCACAAGTTACGATTTTTTTTTGCTAGGAGTTACTATATAGGAAATATATACATGTTCTAATATCTATATGCAACTTTGCTAGTTTTATAACACTCGTGGAAAGTTCTGTCGGCCCACTAATTTAGCTTACACATGGGCAGCTAACTGCGAGCCCAGTGGAGGCGGAATAAAAACACCGGGATTTAACTTTTTGAGGCTTTTATCGCCATCATGTTAAAATCTAAAACCTTCGTTAAAAAGACCCGGTCGGGTGGGGTGATGAAGATAGTTCGTGAGCATTATCTGAGAGATGATATTTGGTGTGGAAGTGAAGCTTGCACTGAATGCCAACAGGAGTCCACGGTGTTGCAGAAAGACGCATGTATTGAGAGCAATCTCTGCTCCTATCCACATTATCTGATCCCTGACACGAACGTGGTGCTGCATCAGGTAATTTTTTTGCGTGTAACTCAAACATGAGGGGTGTTTGTACCACCAAGAGGTCTAATGATGTCTTGATGATATTCATATACAAATGAATGACACATCTTCTAGTTATTTTGATGTTAAAAGTTTCCCTTTTGACACAGCCATGCATTCTACTTTCTTTGTCTTTTCATGACTGGCATATTAACCAGTTGCAAGAGAGATCTAACTAATAGTGATTCCTGTTACTCCAATTGTATCATCCCTAAATGCACATCCATCCAGTGGAGCTGTGAACCTGTCTGATTCTGTCCACCTTGTGCTTCTAACTTGTCCTGCAGATTGACGTGCTGGAAGATCCTGTGATTCGTAATGTGATTATCCTTCAGACTGTACTGCAGGAGGTTCGCCACCGCAGTGCACCAATCTATAAACGCCTGAAGGACATCATACATGAGAAGGAGAAACACTTCTACACCTTTACCAGTGAGCACCACAGGTACAAGGACACTGGAGACTTTTGTTTTACTGCATCACAACATCCTAATTGCACAGTTGTAATATGTAAAAACATGTTGTTCCTTTATGGTGCACATCCGTTTCCATTTTTGCATACACATTTGTTCTTATAATTTCTCTTTCTTCAGAGAGACGTTCATTGAACGTGAACCAGGCGAGAGTGCCAATGACCGCAACGACCGTGCAATCCGCGTGGCAGCCAAATGGTACAGCGAGCACCTGAAGCCATTGGAGGCAGAGACAGATGGGCTGAAGGTGGTCCTCCTCACCAATGACCAAGGGAACAAGCAGAAAGCAGAGGAGAGTGGCCTGCTGGTGTACAAATGTAATGAATCAATCTTTAGCAGGAGAAAGGCTCCTGTTGGATACAATCATACTTTCAAATGCATCACTTTTACCACTTTGTCACAAGTATTTATTCACTTCTTTTCTAGTTGAAGAGTACATCAAGGGTCTGATAGCGAATTCTGAGCTTGTGGATCGTCTGGCTTTGTCCAATGATGACAAGGTAAACACTTTGTAGTAGTTATGTATATAAATGAATGCTATGTCTGGTTTTGGATAAAAATGGAAGATTGCTTCAAATTTGTCCTCACATCTATGGGACATCATTCTCTGTCTTTTCTCCTTACCTTGCTTTTCGTCTTTCCTCCCTCAGAATGAGGTCACTAGTAGCAAAGTGTTGTTTCCAGAGCACCTTCCTCTGTCAAGGATCCAAGCAGGAATTAAGAGTGGCTCATTCGTCCAGGGCACCTTCAGGGCCAGCAGGGACAACTATCTGGAGGCCACAGTCTTTGTCCAGGGAGAGGGGGAAGACAGCACAGAGGTGTGTGTTCTTTTGATTCAGACGATACAATGTTGCAGAGATCAGATATTCAAAATCTGGAGAGACAGGGACATTCCAGGCCTCCTTGGGATTTGTAAGATAATTACGACAAGTTAATTGACTGTCAAAAATAGTAAAGTCCATGCATATGCTGAAAGCTTTGTACTGTCCTTTTGGCTTGCTGCCAGATTCTCATCCAGGGTCTTCAGAACCTCAACAGAGCAGTGCACCAGGATGTGGTTGCTGTACAGCTGTTGCCGCGGAATCAGTGGGTAGCACCCTCCTCAGTCGTTCTTCAGGACGAAGGCACAGCGAAGGATGACGACGTTGAAGAGGAGGAGGAGGAGAAAGCGGTGAATTTGTGTTTTACTTAAGAGTAATTAAACAGCCTCTGTCTGTGCTTACATTTGGAGATGTCTATGCTGTATCAGTCCTTATAGCTGGAATTAAATTCAGAAGTGTGTTTAGTAGTGTGTGTTTAGGCAGTATCTGGTTGCTGTGTTTCAAAGAGAGAAAGCTTGTAATTTTTAACTTTGCAAATTAATGACAGCTCTGATTTGGGTTTTGTGGCTACAGTGTCCTAATGACCTAATTGTTCCTGTGTGTATGAGCAGCTGAGGATATCAGCAGCTGAGGCAGCCAGGAAGACCACAGGGAAAGTAGTGGGAATCATCAAAAGGAACTGGAGACCATTCTGTGGCATGCTCAATGTCTCCCAGATCAAAGAGGTAAGTTTACTTTATATTCATGGTTTGAAAATATGAAGCTGTCCTCAAAATGAGTATGCATGTTTGCACAATCTATATACCTCATACTGTAAAAACTGTCCAGCAATTTGTTCTCTCAGCATCACCACTGACAGTCCCTTTTCTTTCCTTTTTTTCCAGTCCACCCGCCATCTTTTCACTCCAGCAGACCGCCGCATCCCACGCATTCGCATCGAAACACGACAGTCCTCCACACTGGCAGGCCAGAGGATCATTGTGGCCATCGATGGCTGGCCCAAAGACTCCAGATATCCAAATGTGAGTTGGAATTTTCAGATTTTCAGGTCTTTGAAGCTTTGCATATCCTACTCTGAGTGGCTACATCACCACTCGCCATAGTTTGACAGAAAACTAATCTGTTTGTGTTTTCTACATTTATATGAAGTCACCGTGTTGTAGCTGGACAAACTTACACATGCAGGGAATTTATTAATTTTTTTATTTCTTTTTGTTAGGGTCACTTTGTTCGCAGTCTGGGAGGTGCAGGGGAGAAGGACACAGAGCAGGAGGTTCTGCTACTGGAGCATGACGTTCCACACCAGGCCTTCTCTCAGGCTGTGCTCAGTTTCCTTCCCAAAATGCCGTGGGCCATCACACCAGAGGTAACTGGTTTTCTTGAGACACACTGTTATAGTTTCATTTATAAGTCTATAATCTGAAAGTACATACATATAGGCCTGTGTATAAATTAGCGTGAATGTGTGCGATATAGGACATGGTGAAGAGAGAGGACCTGAGGCAGTTGACAGTGTGCAGTGTGGATCCTCCGGGATGTACAGATATAGATGATGCCCTGCACTGTAGAGAGCTGGAAAACGGAAACCTTGAGGTACGTGTATTGATACCGTTAAGTAACAGTGTTTAGTTATTTGTGTCTGTATTACACTTGAGTCTGTGAACATGTTATTTTTATGCTGTAGGTGGGCGTCCACATCGCAGATGTCAGTCACTTCATCAGGCCTGGCAATGCTCTGGACAAAGAGGCTGCCAACCGGGGCACCACTGTGTACTTGTGTGGCAAAGTAAGAACGTCACACTAACAAGTTTGCATCATTGTGTTGTCACAGTTTGAACGTTGCTACAAGCATGCTCCAAGAGAGAACAACAGCAAAATGAATAAAACATAAAGCCATGTCTCTGTTCCATTAGCATTATGATTTTTACATGGAAAAAGTTGTGAACAAAGAATCTGTTTAGAATATACGTGATGGTTTAAGACTTCTGCCTTATTTTTAGCGTTTTGACTCTATTCCAGTCCTCTCTTTATCTCAACATAAAATGTCTAAAGGTGCCAAAAACATGTGATGACAGTTTGAATGTTTGTGAAGTCTGTCTTTGGATTTGATCACAATTTATGAGAAGATATTTGGATATAATGGAAATTTTCACATAGATGAACGCATATCAATTCTAACTCTACCAAATTGTTTAATATTCTCTCCAACAGAGGATAGACATGGTTCCTGAACTGCTCAGCTCCAATCTTTGTTCTCTACGCTCCAACGTGGAGAGGTGAGGGATGAATACACACACAAGTTTGCACAATAATCCATGTTGTCAGTTCCAGTGTGTACATAGATCAGTTCAGTGTGCACACTTGAGCATCAGCCTAAACCCTCTGTAGCCACTACAAGCGAAATGTTTGTTTCTGATTGTGCTCACTTTCCTATTACTTTCTCACCAGGCTGGCTTTTTCATGCATCTGGGAAATGAACCACAAGGCAGAAATTCTGAAGACCCGGTTCACAAAAAGTGTTATTAACTCCAAGGTACAGTACGGATATACAGCACAGACAATTATATATTTTTGTATAGAGGAGCGTGTATCAATTTTCACCACCTTGCTTAATATTTTCATAGATTCTACAACACAGGGTTAATATACTTTGAAGCATGGTTTCTATTTATTTATGCTTCTTTCTTTTTTCCTCTGCTGTTCGTTGGTTCAGGCATCTCTGACCTACGCTGAGGCCCAGATGAGGATCGACGACACCAGCAAGAGTGACGATATCACCAAGAGCTTGCGGGGTCTCAACAAGCTGGCAAAAATCCTCAAGAGGCAGAGGATAGAGAAAGGGTGAGGACTAGTGAATAGTAACGAATGGATTTATAAAATGTCATGTTTAAATGCTATGTGTTTGGAAAATGCAGTTACAAGAAAAGAATTGTAATGCTGTATATTTAAAATGGTGGTAATCAACATAATTTGTGTTTTGTCATTCAGGGCATTGACGCTTTCGTCCTTAGAGGTCCGTTTCCACATCGACAGTGAAACCCATGACCCCATTGACCTCCAGACCAAAGAGCTCATGTGAGTAACCTCAAAAATATGCATTCTGTGGAATCCGTCTCTCTCCAAAGCTCCTCTTTTTAATATATTTTTTCCACATGTATCTGTCGTTCTGCTATATTTTGGATGTATATAAATAAACCCATTTCTTTTTCATTAGGGAAACCAACTCCATGGTAGAAGAGTTCATGTTGCTGGCCAATATTTCTGTTGCCCAGAAAATTTATGATGAATTTCAAGAGTGTGCTCTGCTGAGGAAACATCCAGCACCGCCTCCATCCAACTATGACATCCTGCTTAAAGCTGCAAAGTCCAAGGTGAGCAGAGACAAACAGTCGTGCTTGAAAAAAATGTGGAAGTCAAATGCTTGTTTCTTGAGCTCATTTAATTCATTTGTCCTGTTAACAAAGAGGGATGTTGTTAATCAGTAAACATACTAAATGTGAGCACAATCACAAAAACAAGGTGCTTCTTCCCAGGCGCCTAAATCACTGTCCACATCTCAAATTTGTTCAACTTGTTAGATTTAAGAAACTGGCCTAAAGTGCTGAAAACAGATGCGACACAGCTGAAGAGTACAAATCTGTTCAGAGACACAAGTGAACATCTTGACAGCCAGGATGTACAAGCACCTCTTTGTCATTAGATCATTCATTTGAGCCATTTATCCAGTACTTGCAAACTATAAGAGCCATTTACCTCATTTCTATGTTCATTTTAGCAACTCTTTAAAGTGTTTATCCGTTCATCCATTTCAATCCTTTATCTACCGTATTAACAAACTGCTCTGCTCACTTAGCACCTAGGTTTCAAGCACTCGTAACACATAGAGTGGACTTTTTTTTAGAAATTCAGTTTGAAATTTAATTCGTTTATCCACTCTGGCCAAACAGTTAACTGATTTCAAATTGAAATCACACAGACTGCGGTTTATGTTTTACAGGGTGACTGACGCAGGTTTCAATCTGGTGTTTACATGATTCTACGTTGACCATCATGCTTTTGATGGCGTCTCATGTTGTAATGCTCTCAAACATACTCAAAGCCATTCGAGCGTGAATATTAAACTATAGCTTGACTTTCAAAAAAAATGACTTTGCATTTGAAAATATCTGTCAGAGAAACTGCAATATTTTAGCCGTTAGCTGTAATTGCAACTGCAGAAGTATCTCTGGTTGGGAGTCAGTGCAGTATAGTAACAACAACTGATATATTGACAACAATGCTCAAGTTTTCTGTCATAAAAATATCATAAGATGTCAACATTTTTGTTTCCATCTCTTATCAGGATGTGGCCATTCACACAGACACAGCCAAGGCACTGGCTGACTCCCTGGATGTGGCCAAAGTGGACGGCTTTCCATACTTCAACACTCTACTGCGCATCTTGGCAACTCGCTGCATGATGCAAGCAGTCTATTTTTGTTCTGGCATGGACAGCGATTTCCACCATTACGGCCTTGCTTCACCCATTTATACACACTTTACATCACCCATTAGGAGGTAGGAAAACTGATATTCTCGGCATTGTGCATAATGGGCTGGGGAAGGCTTTTATAACAAGGAAATGTGCGCAGTTAGTTCTTTCTAACCTCCTGATGCCATCTCTCGCCTCTACCTCCTCCCTTCTTCCCCCTACATCCTGTTTCTCTGCTCTCCTACACAGGTACGCAGATATCATAGTGCATCGCCTGCTGGCAGTGGCCATAGGAGCAGACAGCACCTACCCGGATTTGATGGACAAACATAAGCAGTCAGCCCTCTGCAACAACCTCAACTACAGACACAAAATGTCTCAGTACGCACAGAGGGCGTCTGTTGCCTTCCACACACAGGTAAACACATGTGGACCCACTGGGCTGAACTGGCTTGAGGTCTGCATATGAACGACCCACAGTGCTTAACCACAAATTCACGCTTTTAATACAAACCGTCTCTTTCCAGCTGTTCTTCAAGAGCCGAGGCATACTGAACGAAGAAGGATTTGTTCTGTTTGTGAGGAAGAACGCCATCATTGTACTCATCCCAAAGTTTGGCCTGGAGGGGACGGTCTTCTTTGACACCAAAGACAAAGTGTCCCCAAGCGTTGTTTTTGACGAAGAGGTATGAACACTTGGATTGTGTCCGAAATCGTTCACTCATTCCCTACTCACTTTATAGGGACCACTATATATAGTGAACTATGTAGTGAGGAACATTTCAGACACTACTTGAGCTAGTAGTTACGTCACTCACTAACAGTGATTTGTACCGTAGCAGCATAGTACAAACACACCAAATTCACAGTATAGCACAGAGAAAAAAAACGGAAAAAAAAAAATAAAAAAAAACAAAAACGAGATATCGCACACATTAAAAACAAAAGTTCACGCGCTCACGCAAATAGAGTGCACATCCCCTTGCACACAGCACAAGAGGCCACATAGCGCAGAGACAACAGCCGCTACACAACACTTCACACAGCACAGTGGGAGATATTGAAAGCAAAATATAGAGGGTAAAACATTTAAAACACAACACAAAAACACCCACAAAAAAGCAAAAACACCAAATAGAGCACAATATAGAGGATAGAGGAGGAGATCGGACACACAACCTAAAATTTTTTTGCTGCCACATTTATATAAAAAAAAAAAACAGTTTGTGTTTCTTTGATTAACTGAACAGCATTTATTTCTTCTGCGTATGTGCAGGGTCCTGCTCTGACTGTACAGCAGCACACGTTCCATATATTTGACAAGGTAAAGGTCACCATCAGCCTGGATGACTCCAATATTCAGCACCAGAAGATCCGCATGGCTCTGACTGAACCTGTGGTAAGGACAGACTAAACTGAACAACTTTAATTGTAACCTTACAGATCTCTACTCAAACATTTTCTACAACAGAAGCATATGTTGTGTTTTAGATTCCTGGTGTGAGTGTTCCAGTCCCAGATGCTGCACCGCAGGCCAAGAAACCCAAACTGGACCGCTGACAGAAAAAGCAGCTCCATAATTCACCTGAACCACAAGATGAACCACCAGATCAGAAATCAGTCTGTAAAAGAACCAGTTTGGACTATGATGCATTGACACAGTTAACTGTTATGTTTCAGATATTCTGTTTTTCATTTTTATTTTTTTAATAAATCCACCACAGCAAAGACACATTGTTCCAATCTGACCTGCACCACTTTGTTGTTATACTTGTAATTTTATTAGGATTTGAAGCAGGATAAATGCAGTGTAACCTGTCAAACAACAGTGTAATATGCAACGGTCATTAAAATGTTTTTTAACACATCATGAGTCTGTGCTTTCTTTAAATATATAAAATCTCCCACTAAATTATTTTTGTCTCACAACATTGTGAAATCTGCCCTCGCGTGAAGTGATAATACATTTTACTGATTAATTAGAAGCTCAGTCCCGAGTGATACATTTTTATTTCTGGACCATTGATAGGGTCAGTGAGTCAAAAATACTCCTTTACTCAGAACGTTCAGTACTGCAAAAACACACTTTACAAAGATCCAACTCAAAAATCCATCCTCAAACCAGACAAAGACTTCAAGTTCATTTAATATGACAACAATCCAGCCAACGCTTGTAAGTGGAGAAAAATTGTGAAGAAATGGCTCAGTCAGCTCTTCATTCACTAGTGGCATTATTCAGTGTCTTATTCTGTAATAAATAATCTAGTGATATGAATAAGACCTGCAAGTAACCTGAATATTAATTCTTATTCTTTCACTAGAGGAAAAATAAGCTCTTGTCATATAAAATCAACGTGATAAACGGTTTCATAAAAACATAAATACAGTACAGATCTTATGTCATCTAGGACCTAACAGGTTAATGATGTCAGCACCAAATATGATTGAAATGATGTATTAATACAGCATTCACTGAGATTCTTGTGCAAGTTTGGTACAGAAATCATGTTGTTTCCCACTCCTTTGTTACACCAGTATACTAAATCCAAAAGTATTGTTAGCTTTCAGTGTCTTACAGTGAGGCAACGATGGTCTACGGGTCAGATTATCCTTTGTTAACCTGTGATAAAACAGTGTGATAGAGCATTTGCCAACAGCCAGGTAACTTGAACCTTAACTCTCAAAGGAACCAAAAACCACTTGTGAAACCCCTTGATCCTATTCATACTTCATTTAACAGTCAACCTCAGTCAGTCTAACCAAATCACTTCCCCAAACATGCTTCAAACATAGTGTAAACTTTGTTGTATTTGATTGCAAAATAACCATCACAAGCTTCCCCTGGAAGAGGCGTCCCTTTAAATGCATAAATCAGTTGGCTCAGTGGTGAGGATAAAATACCTGGAAGATAAGAAACTTACTTTTAGTTAAAGATGAAAAAGAAAATGAAAAAGACTTTCTTCAGTAACGTATCTGAACTATTAAATTATCAATTAGTATTTTTTAGAATTAGATCAAAAGACAAACTTGCATATCTACTACCCAGTGATTGTGTTTAAAGGGTCAACATTACCTTTACTTTAGTGTGTCGAGAAACTGGGAAGGCTTCTTCCACCAGATTGGAACTGAAGGACTCTTTGCTGTGACAGTCTGAGCTCAGACCATCAATAAGACTAGCAGTGCCCACTGAGGTAGTGTTATAGCCGCTGTCCACCTAAACACACACAAAACGCAGTCAGTCGCAAATCTTCAATTAGAAAAACATCAATATGAAACGACCAATTAGAAGTACTTCATATAAATTAAATTTACAGTGACATAAAATACAAAAAGAAAACAGTCTGCCAGGGTGAAACTGCTTTCACTGACCTGCATGCTAGAATCGTAGCGTATGCTGCTTCCCTCTGCCAGAAGAGACAGAAACATCTGAGAGCTTTCTATTGCTGACACGTTCCCCATTCGAGAGCTGGTCAGCTGTCCTGAGGGCCTTCCACTTTCCTCCTCTTCATCCTCCTCATCCTCCAGCCTCACTTCTATTCCTGCATCCTTTCCTTCTTCCATTTTCACAGGTTCCATAGGATCCAAGGTAACTCTTTCATTGTCAATAGGGTGAGCGTCCCTCACCAGGGGTGACAATGGATCTAGATCCATAGGGAGGAGAGAAGAGGAGGAAGATGAGGAGGAGGGGAGTGGTTCTTCTGCCTCGTCATTGACTTGGAGTTTAGGGTTGAGGATCGGTGAGATGAGGGGAGGGGAAGCCCAGCAGCGGACTCTGGGTCTGGGCTTGGGTCTGGAGGCATGGTAGGGCTCATTGTGGCAATGGAGCTGGTGTGGGGAGCAGCTACGAATGGGAGAGCACCCTTCGACAAATGGACTTTCATTGAAAGATTTAACATCTACGTCCAGGGGAACACCAGGTGGGGTCAAATTGCTCAGCTGCTTTCTTTCAGCTAAAGAAAGAACACAGATCCACATTGAAGAGATAATTAGTCAACATTACCACAGTGGCTTTTGAAAAGGTTATTTCCCCAATTCTGCTTTATTTGTATATTACGAATTTGTGTACGAGTTACAAAGCAAAAAGTCTACCTGAGGTTATAGGTGTGCGTGCTGCATGTGCAACAATAGGAGAAATTGTGGGGGAGACGAGGCCAGCAGGAGACGATCTATCAGGAAACATAGGACTGCTGATGCTGCCCAGGCTGCAGTCCCGGAAACAGCCATGCTGGATGGGACTGGACGAGAACTGACCCTATGAAGAAAACAATGTAAATCTATTATCGTTTAACAATTTTAATGCTGATTTAACTTTACTACAAACACAAAAAGCCCTGCAATTTCTTGCTAAGAAGCACCTGAATCAAAAACATTAGTTTTGAAGTTTAGTTGCAGCTTTTGAGGCAGACCAACAGTACAACAATACTGCAGTACTCCTGTGCCAAAAACATTAATCAATCAGTTCATCAGGAGATGAATTCAAAGTAAAGGTTTGCTGATAAGAGGTTCACAGATATCCAGAGGTGCTTGCTTTCTTCAGTTTCATGTTTGTAAATGTGATACTTTTGTTCCTTTTTGGCCTGACAAATGGATATTCAGCTCCATGTGTATGGCAAAATATCATCATATGCATCCCTACACTCACCGTAGAAGGAGTCGGAGCCGACACACCACAGGACAAAGGGGAGGAGAAGATAGAGGATATAGCCTCAGAACCTTCAACAGCTCCCTCTCCTCTGCTGAGAGATTTCCTCTCCTGTCTGGCATGGCTCCTCTCTGGGCTTGGTGGACTCGAGCTATCTGAGCCGCTGTAACTGCCTTGGCCATCGAGGAACAGTTTTCTTCTCAAGGAGGAGGAACTAAGACTCTCCTGCACAGCATCACACGGTTCCTCGTAACGATAATATTCTCCTGAGGGCGAAGAAACAGACAAGGTGATTTGATGGTAGAACACTCTGACGTTCTTCAACCTCTATTCTACTGGCACTGAATAGAAGCTTACCTAATACTTTTTCCAAATCAAAAGCCAAAGGCAACGAAAGGGTTGTCTGACAAGCAACTGTAAATCAAGCAACAAAAACAAGTTAGTACAGTTTTTAAAAAATGAGATACGGGGGCACAGATTATAGAAAGTAACGTCAAACTGCCTCAATAAGCACACAAACCTGAGATTTTTTCAGGCTCCTCTGCAATCATTGCAGACTTAAAACCTGCAAGTGCAAAGAAACATGAACATAAAATTAGAATAAACCTACAGTACGATGACATAAAATCAAAAGGCAAAAAGGAAAATGGGATCTATAAACAACAAAACTTCATGTCATCTTTTAACAGGAGTTACAACTTACTTTTCTTATAGAGCTGAGGGGCTTTACGGATGTCTGGTGCTGCCCAAGGGGAAGGCACAATGGCTCCTTTGGTAAAAAACTTTATTGGAAAATAGGGAAATGACATAATTACAAATCACCAATGTACCAAAACCTCTATCATGATGCAATAAAATGAGATTAGATTAGATTTCCAAACCTGCTCAATAGCATTCTGACGTTTTTCCTCAATGTCAGAATCCGTCCTGAAACATAGAATAAGGACATTTTATCACTTACATTTTCATTCTCCAATACAAAAATGTGACCATATGTAAGTGAAGTAACATTGCTCTAACTTAAAGAATTTCAGTTTTGTCTACATACATATACTTATTATCAGTTTACAGTACATACCTTGTCTGGCTGAGGTAAAAAGATTGTCGCTGGATTTCCTCTGGGTCTATGTGTACAGGTAGAAGACTGGCCATTTCATCGATAGACCAGTTAAACTTGGGTGGAGTCTGAGGACGAGACAGATGAGAAAATGAATAAAAGACGACATACACCATTGAAAGAAGGAAGTGCTGCAGGATGTTCACAAGAAAAAAAATGGGAACATCACGCAGCAGCAACTTACTACACAGTATTTATGCATGTGCCACATTCTAGTAGATCTAAAAGATACAGTCTCATTTTCCCAGACATCAGTTAACAGAAAATCAGTTTCAATGAAGATCTACATTGATTTTGTTTCCATTAGTCTCACACTAGGTTTAATCCATGTGTGGGAAACTATCTGATAAGTGTGAAGTGTGTTCAGACTCACAGTTTTACATGGCTTGGACTTGAAGACCGAGGGGCTCGGAACCAGGGCTTCCCGGAGATGGTGGTAGTCATTGGGACTTTCAAAGGGGTTTCTAATGGAAGGTCTGCCTGGAGTCTCTGGGGTGATCTGTAGCTCAACATGGTCCCCCATCTTAGCTGACAAAAACAAATTATCCAGTCAAAGACATTTCAAACATACAATTATAAAGGAATAATCCACAAAAAGACAGTCTCCATTTCCTCGTAGTGGTTTGTGTAGTTAGCTCGATATGTAAGTTACATCAAACTCTCGTCGTTTCTATACGTTAATTAGCTTTCGAAAGGAAACCACGACTACTGAGGAAGGAATCTGGTCACAGCGTTACACTTTACTCAAAACTACGATAATATATGAGCTATATACGTTGAGTCGTCGGTACTTACAACTGTTAATGGGTCGGGACTTTGAACACACAGCTAAAAAACAATCCTCATTGAAGACTCAGCAGCAAACAATCAGCAGGGACAGTTCAAACGTTTATTTCAATTTCGCTCACCGGACCCGCCAGCCAATAGAAACGAAGCAGTCCGTGTCGTCACTTCCTGCAGCAGTTTCGTTAGTGAGAGTAGCAGGCTAGGTGGCTAACTAGCAGCTAATATTGTGCTGTCATGAGTGGACATTTCTAGTTTTTTTTCGGGAGCTCTTATCTAAAATGAATACGACACGTTTAAAGTCTGACTGAACTGTTGTGGTAACTTAATTGCCTTGTGTGGCGTCCTCAAGTTTCTATTTGTTAGCCACTTGCTAGTAAGCGTTAGCTAACTATATTCATTCATCACTATGGCAAGTGCAGCAAATGCAAACGTAAACGCAGTCCGGGAGACAATGGATGGTAAATATATGTTAAATACAAATGCAGTTGATTATTAGTGTGGAAAATAACTTAAAACTATTTTGTAAAATAGACGGGCTTTGTGGTGAACCGTTAGCTTGGTTGTAAGAGTTTTGTCTTGACACTTTCTTCTTCCCACAACAGTGCTGCTGGAGATCTCCAGGTTGCTGAACACAGGTTTGGACATGGAGTCTCTGTCCATATGTGTGAGACTTTGTGAGCAGGGCATCAACCCAGAAGCTCTGTCTGCAGTCATCAAAGAGCTTCGTAAAGCCTCCGAGTCCCTCAAGGTACAAAAACACAGAGCCATTCCTTTCTTATTAGTGAGGATACTGTTTTTAGATGTGGCATGTGAGGTTCTAATCCTGGTCACCAACAAGTGTCACTGCTGATCAATTTGTTATTTATAAGAAATCGTGTCACGCCAGTGTGAGAATCCCAAACCTCAAAGTGATGTCTTAAATTGTGCTGCCTATGGAACAGTTCAAAACATTGGATCTTAAAGTTGCAGTGACGTAGTAAGGGGATGAGCAGAAAAGATAAAGATAAAGATAAAGATAAACTTTATTCATCCCGAAGGAAATTGTTTTGCCTCACATTTGAGACGCTCTAACTAATTTCTTGTGAAGTGTTTGTTTTTCAGGATAGGATTTTTTTTAAAAAAAGATCATTTTAAATTGTAGTACATTAAATCAGTTAATTAACCAATTATAGTACATACTCAAGTTTTAAACTGGCAACTGCGTACACCAGCGCTGAAATATATTAGTAGTAGTAGTAGTAGTAGTGCTATTACTTTGAACAAATTAAAAGATGCTTTTGGGTTTTTTTTGTTGTTTTTCTTTTTACACAAATGTGTTGATGTACATGTACCAGGCATTAATTATGCTGCATTAAAATATAGATTTTCATCTAGTTATTCTATCCATAGAAAGATATTTTAGTGACCTTCCAGAAAATTTACTATCCTTCAAAGGTCCCATCTTGTGCTGTTTTGCAGCAAATTAAGGAAAGTGTCTCTGCAATTTTTTTAAGCTCAATACACTGAAAAGTTGATTAATTTTGCCATGGCTGCCCCGTTCTAAACAGGTTGTTAAAGTGTCTGCAGCTTTAAATACAAATTGAATTGCTGCTGTGGACACCCCCTTCAGGAAGGAGACTCTCTCTGTGTCTGTGATTGACAGCACAGAGTGAAACTGTTGATACCTCCATTGCTGACATAGACATGAAAGTGTGTGTGAGACCAAGACTTTCTGTCTCTGAAAGTCCCTTGAGATTAAAATTTCCACAGGACCCTGACCCGGGGTTCAACGATCAAAGCTGATGGTAATATCTGATGCATTCGCCGCACAATGTGCTAACATTAAGGATTTTTCTGTTGTGGTGACATTGCCATCAAAAATGCAAGTAGGGCCTTCAGTTTGTCAGATACTGGAGTGCAGGAAGACTCTTATGTTCACTCTTGTTAACAGCAGAGTATTTTGCAAGCTTTGTTGGTGACTGAGACATTTTAGAGTTAGCAAAAGCAACTGTAGAAAGTGAAGAAAACCTGGTCGACTGTGAGGCAGCTGCTTATTCTAAATAGTCTTGCTTTGCCAGCCCATTCTGTAGTAATAGGGGACAAAAGCACTTGTATTTACGTAAACCAATCACAGTCATCGTTAGCAGGGCTAAGTGAAGGATGCAGCTTCGATGTTCACTCAAAATAGTGATGGGCGATAAGCAGTGTCATTAAAATAGATAATCCACCGCAGAAAACTAGCAAGGCTGCCTTACTGCACGATCCAAATCCTCAGCAAGAACTTGGAATTTTATAGTGCAGCAGGCTGCTGCTCTGACGTTATTGTGGTTGTTTCCTCATTGTAAAGAAAGCAGTAAAACAAAGATAGCGGAAGGAAGGACAAAGCGGTGACTTTTACATTCATCCTACATCTGGTGAATCAGACTACATACTAAATGACTCACCTCACAGGCAGCAGGCAGTGAGGGGACAGGATTCTATATGTTTTTAACCGGAAGACTAGTGTCTGCGTAGAAGCTGAATAGAACTGTGACTGGCTCATAGCCTACCTAGTTCAAAGGGGCTAGAACAACAGCAGGAGTAAGTATCTTCATTTTGTCACAGCTTTTATTTGGGACATACAAAACCTTTATTATATATCATTGTCACAATATGAAATTGCAGATACACAACATGAGTGCCAGTGCAGGGCCCTCTTTTAATATGGTTGGGTACAGTACAAGTTTAATTTAGTTTTAGGTGTTCTCCTCGTACTTGTCACCTTCTGTCAAGAGTTTTCCTACCTTCATATGTAGTGCACTGTATACTATACTTGTCCTTTTTGTGCTAAACAAAAAAATATCTGTTATTTCTTTTTACTTAAAGTCCATATTTAGATTCTGGGGTTGTATGAGAATCAAAAAAGGAAATAGTTTAATTTCTGTTGTGTACATTTAGTAGTAGGAAAATATCTTAGAGAGACTAAAATGTTTTAATAATCATGAGTAATATTCATTCTGATGTAGCTTTTCCACATGTTCATTAATTTTCACTCAGTTTTGCAACCATATTGTTCACTTTATTATAAACATGCAATGAGTTATGATGATGAATCATAAGTGTGTATATTCTTTTCTTTTAGGCTTCTGAGAACTGCACAAACTGAAGATGAAAACGAATCACCTCAGTTTGGGACTTTTAATGGGATCATGCTCCGTTCCTGGATCTGTACCTACTATGGGTTCTCCAGGAAACCAGATTTCTCTGTATTTTGACACTCTGTCCTCTTTGCCTCCTTGTTGACTAATTTGCTCCTGTTCTGCGCTTTGACTTGTGTCATGTTTTTGTTTTTTTTTCTTCTTCTTCTTTTTTTTTTTCAGTCCTCGCTCTAAACTCAAGTCTTATTCTGTCATTTTGCCTCAAAATTTCGGTGCCCCAAGTTTTTCCTAACACAGTTTGTAATGTGTTGGTTCAGGTTTGCATTGACATCCCGCCTTAATTTAAGAGCAAACTTCTGGTTTCTGATCATCAGCTTGATTTGCTCTTTTCATGATGAAATGTTTTTATGGTGTTTTTGAAATGTGTATGATTTGTTAAGCATGGTTTTGTTTTTTTATTTGTGTTCTTTTGCCATTTCCATTTTTCATGTGACTATTCAGGATGGAAAGTCTAAATTAAAACGTTACAGTCAGTGGCCACCAGATGGTGTTGTGTATTTCTTATTCCAATCTGAGGTCTTCATTGGGTGTTGGGTAACTTGCACGGTTACAACCCATCTCATGAGTTTTTCTGATGATTCACCAGCTCTGAGATTGTATTAAGTCGTTTTAAAAATGACGTTTCTCTTCTTCGTTTGTCTTTTTTTGTTATTGACTTTATCCAAATTTTGTATCCACCAATAGCATTTTTTCCAAGTGATATCATTCTGACGGGCTTCCCCTTAATGGGAGCTAATTTTTTTTGAGAAAGATTTTACAAAGGAAATGATCTTTCCTGTCGGACTAGGTGAAAGGGACAATGATATTGCCAGAACATTGCACAATACAATACAAAAACAGACCACGCATGAGTGATCGCATCCACAGCCAGCAGCATGCTTCACTAAAAAATAAGACATGAACAAGGGTCATTCTTTACAGCAGGATGTCCTGTTGATCTGAAATGTTCTCTCCTTTATGTCTGGCCTCTGAAAAGTATTTGTGATGTATTGCAAACTTGACAAAAAAAACACGTCTTTGATCAACCAGAAATGAAACCCCTACATCATGTATCTAACCACGCAGCATTGTTTTGTTTCTCCGCTGTCTGTAAAATAGCTCTATTCATCTTCGAGACGAGGGAAAATGCTGAGAGCACAGAACATTCCTCCACAGGCCAATATACAGGCTAGAGGCGACCTCTTACCCACCCAGACTTGTATCAGTTAGTGTGTGTGTGTGTGTGTGTGTGTGTGTGTCCCTCTACGTGTGAGAGTTGAGGTGTTCACGCAAAGCTGTAGATGTCTACAAATGAGAAGCCCCTAAGCCATCTGACAGTAACGCCTCACCCCTCACAGGCTCACCACAGAGGAAGCCAGCGAGCGAGCAGCGGAGTATGTGTGCGTGTAAGCATTTCTGTCTTCTTCTGCTTTGTCTCGCCATCTTGACTGACAGGCTGTGAGTCTAAATCTCTGTACTGCTGCTTTGATCTCTTAACACAGTATCTCTCTGTTCCTCAATACCAGCATCGTGTTAGCCAAGCATGAGAGACATACAGATGCGGTGCAGTGGCTCTCCTTGATAGTCCGTAAGCCTAAACAACCCCTGGTCTCAGTGGGGGGGCGAGCTGCATGAGATGCTGAAGGAGGCAGACCCACACCGAGAATCCTTTTCCTTTTTACAAAGGAAAAAAGAGTTATGCATGGCTTGATTGGCTACTATGGGCGTGGGATTCGAGGATGCATTGCTCTCTGTTTGATGTGGTTGAAGGGTTTCTCCTTATCCAAGCCAGCTACTTTGATCTCTGTTAAACAAAATATTCCCAAATCCCACAGTCCTGACAGAGATTAGCGTCCATATATGCATAAACATCTAAGAGGTGTTCAACTAGGGCACTGGTCAGGTCACATGACTGTATCAACTTAAGAGGCAAGCAGGTCCTCGCATCAGAACTTCTAAAGGTGTTTATATTTGTATGTCTGATAATTATCCGGGGCGAGGATTATTTTTCTGATAAATGAGGCCAGTCTCATTTAAAAGTGAAAGACCTACTGTATGTGTGGCAATTACAGTTCAGGTGTGTGCAGTGGATATTAGGAAAATAATTAGACTGGACTGATTAGAAGTTCTTTATGTATAAGGAAACATAGTCTGTTGATGTTTTTCCAAACCTAAATTACAACCACATTGTCTCATGAAACCAAGAGCCTTATTTGAAGCAGAGTTTGACTAAAAGTCAAAGATCTCAGTGTGCATACTTATGATTAGGTCACTAATTACCATTAGCAATAAACAGGTTGGTTTAATGGTCTCCCTGCAGAGACAAGGCTTTGTTTGTCCATTTCATGTTTTATTGCGCCTTATATGATAATTTCAGGCCTAGAACTTTTAGTTCTACATAATTTCAGATGAGGTCTTCCACTTGGATGATGATAAAATGAGTTGGGACTGAAACAGACTTGTTTGTCTAAGTCTGACAAATGTTTCACCAATGCAGCAGTATTTTAGGACACTTGCATGTGCAGGAGACACAAACGGTGTCAAGTAACAAAAATGTTTACTCAAGTACATTTCAGACTTGTGCTTCAGCATTTTAATTGTATAGTAATTTTTTAGTTCTACTCAACTACATTTACTGACAAGTATTTAGTGGTTATGAGACATGCCCACCTAACATTGTGTAATTAAAAAACATTTTTTTTGCACCACAACAGCCAGCTCTGAGCTTAAAATTCTACTTACATGTTAATGCAAGTCAAAAATGATCCAGTTGGGTGATATATAGTGCTTTTAATGACTAATTTTACTTTTATACTGAAGTAAATTTTGTTGGGAATACTCTGATATTTTCCCTTAAAGTGAGATTTTACTGCCTTTTTACTGAAAACTGACACTTCACATTACAAGATAATTTCTCTTATTTTATTTAAATTTTCTTAAGACTGTTGCTTTAGTGGCTTCACCAGCAGACAACCAGACAAAGAGAAAGTGGAAAAAGATCTCAACAACATTGTCTCCTGTGTATGTACAGACTGTTTGCTTCTTGTTTTAAAATGTTCATCCATTACGCAAAGGTGATCAAATGAGTCAGTTTCACTTTTTGTATCTTTCGTAAGTTTGCCCACATTAGCTTAAATTAGTCACCATAGGATACAGGTCATACTTGACTAAATAAGATTTAACAGAAAATTCCTTGAGTTAACACTAGGTGTGATTTGTAAGAGAAATAATAAGTTATTTCTTATTTCAAAAGTTGGTCTTGCTTGAAGTAAAATTTTGATTGACGTTTACATTTTGATTTTCTCAATGCCTCTTCTACCCCTGACAAAAATTACCAAAAATAACTACCAAGAAAGCAGTATATTCTAATGTCCTGAAATCCAATTAATGAAACCCATACAGCAGTATGTATATCCTGGAGTCATCATGCTTAAAGGCCTGGCACTGAAGTGACTGATTTATCAGTATTTCTGCAACTGATCAAGCCTGTCTGGCCCTCATCCTTCAGCAATGTGAAGCTTCACCGACTGTATTTGCCCTGAGAGGAGTTCTGTGACCTTGTTAGAGCTTTTTTCCAATACACCACCGTTGATTAAATACAGGGCACACTCTTACACCGTAAGATTATACTGTTTAGGTCCCAATTAAATTCATAGCAAGGAAATTGGATCATAAACTCTTTAAAGGATCGTTAACAATCATTAGACAGGATAATAGCATGGCAATCAAAATATGTAAAAAGAAAAAAAAAAAAAACTTCCAAAGTCTTTTAGTGACTTTGTTGTTTTTGGACATTTTCCAACCTGATTAATGTAGAATTGATTGATTTACAGTTGTAATTAGCTGTACTCTGCATAGATGCATAATAATCATATATCTCCCTGCTTGTTTTAAAGTATTAATTGGTTTCATTAACAAAAGCAGTTAATTGAATAACAATTAACAAAGTTGATGATGGTATCAACGCAGCGCATGCAAACTCCCTTGTGTTTTCCCTATGATGATAATGAAACCACCTTTTTATCAGATTGGAATTTTGTGTGTTGGACTATGTAATGACTAATATGATATTGGGCTTATTAGTTTATTCGAGTGGCTCACTGAGGCGTTAAGCTGGTATTGAACACATTGTGTTTAACAGGTAGGCACCATATGCTGCCTTAATCAGACATTGGAATCACATTTGGTTGTTAAATTGTCTTCTAATAAAAGCAGGTAGTAAAACAACTTGAGCTAATTCAATTTCAGGCGAGTTTCGGCAAAGTGAACAGCTGTTCGTATTTGTCGAATTGTTTTAACAATCCACCTCTTCTCTTTCTCTTTTTTTTTTAAAGGTTTAACTCAAACAGCCTGTTTGTTCTTCAACTTTTCTTGTAGAAAATAGAGATGGAGGGTGGACGAGCTGTCCACTCTCCTTAAAAGAAGACAATGCCAGGCATATTGTAGTGACAGCTTGTATTGTGTGTGTGTGTTTGTGTGTGTGTGTAAGAGAAAGAGAGGGAGAGAAAGGAGAAGGGAGAGAGAGAGCATGTGTGTGTGTGCATGTTAGAAAAACAGAAAAATATAGAGAATGTGTGTATGTGTGTGCGAGAGTGTGTGTATGTGTGTGTGTATGTGTTGCATGTGTGTTACAATGACAGCTTGTATTCTCCGTGATTAATGATGTGCTGTGTGACTTGATAAGTGCTTCGGAGGACCAACGCTTGTTTCAATTAGACCTTGTGAAGGTCGCGACGCCGCGCCGGCCTCTCATTATCATATCCATAATCAATCCACATTATCATAGGGGAATGTGCAATGGATGTGTGATATCTTGGTCATGCACACACACACACATACAGAGATGTACACACACACACACACACACACACACACACGACACCTAATCACATACCAAAACACAATGACATACTCTCTCACTCACAAGAGCACACACACACACCCTTCACTCCAAGTTGATTTGAATCATAACAGTGGCTGTCGGAACGGATTGTCTGTTCAGATTAAGAGTGTGTTTCTGAGAATTAAGCAGCATTGATGGTGGTGGCATTTCAGATCCCCTCTGCAGACACAAATGCCAAAACATCATTCTGTCACCCCCCCCTCCCCTCCATAACCCCCCCCTTTTCTTTCACACAACCACATTTATGACCACACACACACACACACACATACACACACACAAACACACTTAACTAGGACCCTGGGGCATTTTTAATAGAGGCGAAGTGATTCGTATGTTTTTACTCCTCTAATGAGAACAGATTGAGTGGTATTTACACTTCATCGGCTGATCTAACCACCTACACATTTCCCTCATGCTTATGCTGCTCACTGGCCAAAACAGACATGTGGAAAGGACCAGAGCTTGGCTTTCGAACAGCGACACAACATGAACATTATCTTTGTCTCTTTGGCTCACGGTGGCACCTCGGCAAGATGTTAAAACAGGGACAGATTTGGTTTCTTTAAGGAAGCTGCGTGTGTGTGTGTGTGTGTGTTTGTGCGAGACAGTAGCACGATAAGGAAACGGTCCCTGAAACCGCTGGTCCAGGGGGGTCACCCACTTGGGATCTGACTGTGGTTTTTTAAAAATTTTATCAAAAAGTGTACCTGAGATAAAAAGCCAGCTAAAAAAAAAAAAAAAAAAAAAAAAAAAAAGGCAAAGAATTCCCCCAAAAAAAAAACATCCAAAGCAACAAACTACTAAAAACTATATGATACATTAAAAATGAAGCGAGGCAAATGTTGGAGGTTAAAACTTAATCATACACTACTGGAGCAATTAGAGGAATTGAAGGAGATATAAAACATTAATTAACTCAGTGAAGTGGGAATCTTCCCAGGCGGTCAAGATAGATAGGCTTGCAAAGTCTCACAGAGGAACTTAAAGAGCTTCAAAGACAAAGAATAGGCTACTCTGCTGATTTACCATTGAAATCTGATGACACTCTCAAACCTTAAAAAAAAAAACTAAGATAAAAATCAATGCAGCAAGGTTGTCTTTTTTTTTTTTTAATTGATGCATCTCTCTTCTTTTTCACCTACATAACTCACAATGCAGCTCCATCAACAGTTTGGATGTTTCTGGGGCTACGGGGGTCTCTCCAGACCTGCAAGCATTCTTTGATTAAAACTGGAGTGAAGCATGAATTTGTTTCCGTCTGCATGGCACGCTATGTTTGTTTTTTTTTTACACCTCACTAACTGGAGAGATTTTTGCATTAAGCATCAGTTGTTTCCTTTCAGGGGAGTTTAAGCACAATGGCTGCTGTATGAATTAAAACTATGACCTTCCTGTTGTGAGACAAAGTCACTTCCCACCAGGGCATCCTGCAGCCTACTGGTAGTGGTATTCTCTCAAATACTGCGGCTGCTTACAAGATGGTGGATGGATGAACTAAAAAGGAAAAAATTTAACTAAATTAAAAACCCGGCATCCGAGGGTATAGCTGCAAATCATTCCTTTGAGCTGCCGTATTACTCATCAGGTCCTTGTTTAGGTCACTGTTTTCTGTGAACTCCATTCATTTTATATCAGAAAATCTGTTATCAGATGATGCCACGAGCCTTAAAAGCAACAAAGCGCTGGCCTGGGAGGGTTAAAAAAGAGCAATTTGCTACTTATTAAACACTTTAAGGTGGGAATTTACGACATGAATAAGCTCTGTTTAACACTGATGGCTTTATCTGTGTGTTTTCTACAGATGGAGAAAGAGAGTCGTGACATTTCTTTTTGGCAAGGAAAAGGCCATACTCAGCAGGAGTTATCAAAGGCAAAAAGTAAAAAGTTCGAGTTAGCTATCTCTCTCTCTCTCTCTCTCTCTCCCTCTCTCTCTCTCTCTCTTCCCCTGGAGATACTCATGTTAAGCATAATTAAGCAGATTTGATTAGCATCAAGCCTGGCTTCCTCTCTTGACTTTTAATGAATGTAAATCTACCATCTACATCCTAAAGATTAATTTCTGCCAATTAAAAAACACAAGAGGGCTTATTCGAGAGAGGAGGGGGGGGTACATGGGGAGGGGGGTGAGGTTGGGAGGAAAAAGAGTGTTAAAGTCCTTTGAGTTGGAGTACAGTCGGAGTTTTATCCTCTTCCCCCTTGTCTTATGGTGAGATGGTCTCTGGAGATCTGTGTCTCTCTCTCCCTCACGACCAAGATCATTATCAACACAATGTTCCGTGAAAGCCACTTTGAAAGGACTGCAAGCTCCATATGTAAATGATGGGAGTGTGTGCGAGCGTGTGAGAGTGTGTGCGTGGACTGGATGGGGAAGCAGTGCAGGGAACAGGTAAAGGGGTCAATTTGTCAAGCCAAGGTTACCGGCCTCTGTACCAGCTTCTCGTAGAGCCTCTCATCACTCAGATTCAGATTCAAACGACGTTGCGACAGACAGCAGGTGCAACATAAATTACCTGCACAAAGCCTTTAACATCTAATAAAAGGAGACACCTGATTTATTGTTGTTTTTTGTTTGTTTTTGGCTCATTCACCTTTTTCAAATTAGACTATTTTTCTTGTATTTCAGTTTATTTCCAAACAGAAAAAACTAATTGCGAAAGATGTCAAACCTTTAACAATGTATGTGTTGATTTGTTTATATTCAAAGCACTTAAATTGCACATAAAGATCAATTTGAATCCAACATGGGACCTGTTTTGAATGTTTAATTAAATGATTTTTCCTGTGATGAACAAGCTTTGGCACAAATTAGATGATTAAAGACAGACGTGGAAAACGTTTGCACTACAGTAGATGATATTTTTTTTCAAGGATAACAGTCATAAATAATAGTCTCAAATGCTGTTATGACAAGATTACACTAATAAGTAGATTTAAAGACTCCAGATTTGGTGCCACAGACGCACCAAGTCCCATCAGAGGCGTTAATGTGAAGGTGTCTTTTCGTTAGGCGTTCACAAATAGGCTTATCCAAAGTTTATGTAGGCTAATCTTTGCTCTCTCTCTCTCCCTCTCTCACTCTCTAAGAATATGCCCAGGCTCCTCCTCTTTATGATAATGTGACAGTAGCATCTCCAGCTCTGAGACAAGCCTCCGCTCATTCTGATTCAACTATGTGATCTGTTTTTCCACACACGGACCCTGTCTCCTTCTTTTATCCCCCCCTTATCTCCTCCTCGGCACACTCAATGCGCACTCCACACTCGCAAAAGCATCCGCCGTGTGTTCGCTGAAGTTACTTTCTTTTAACATAGTTTGACTTCAACTTGCTCTCCAGATCCTCGGACATGACCACTATGGCAACTCCTGCCGCTCCGGCTCTGCTCCCCGCCGCTCCGCTCGGCCACCACCCAGCGCCGAGTTCCGTCTCTCCGGCCACCAACTCTCCGCCACCTGCGGCCACCTCCGCCGCGTCCTCCCCGGCTCCTCCGGTGGCGCACCCGGCGCTGCTGCACCAGTTCAGAGCGGATCTCTTACTATCGAACGGGACCCCGTTGAAGAGCGGAGGAGCGCCGGTGTCCAGCAGCGCTAAGCCCGTGTACGCCACCGCGTCGCCCGTGGAGAGCACGCCGCAGAACAACGAGTGCAAACTGGTGGAGGTGAAAGGTGCCAAGCTGGCCTCGTTCACGGTGAAAGACACGGAGCTCATCTGCCTGCCCCAGGCTTTCGACGTGTTTCTCAAGCACCTGGTCGGCGGGCTCCACACCGTGTACACCAAGCTGAAGCGGCTGGACATTACCCCGGTGGTGTGCAACGTGGAGCAGGTCCGGGTGCTGCGGGGGCTCGGGGCCATCCAGCCCGGGGTGAACCGCTGCAAACTTATCTCCAGGCAGGACTTCGAGACGCTCTACAACGACTGTACCAACGCAAGGTGAGGCGGGTTTCTGGGTGGGTTCGGAGCAGGGGGTGACCCGGGTGATGGAGGGTTACCTGGGTCATGTCTGAGGGGGGGCGGGTGCAGCAGGTGGGGGTTAGCAGGTAGGCCCAAGAGATCCACAAGGATGACTGATACCTGCCTTTACACTTTTCATTTGATAAAATCTGTAGAGAAAAATTCAAAATATTCCAAATCTGCTGTATTAATATAGAGCTCATGTTGTGTTTTATACATTAAGAAATCAAAATTTACCAAATTTCTACTCATCTCTTCATGTGATTGCACAAAATTAAACCCAAATGAAGCGTTCTGTATGTGGGAATATGAATAATACATAAATATATATATTTTTTCTGAATGTATGATGTGTTTCTGAGTTGATATTTGATTTAATAATCACTGACTGGAGGTCCATTTGACCTCTTTTTTTTATTCGCCACATTCCTGCTGCTAGGCCTGTTACTAATTACCATTTTAATGGATGATAAACGTTGCGATGGTGATGATGGTGTTGATGATAATGAATTTTAGTAATCCTAATAGGAAAAACACTCTTAAAAGTTTGTCATGTTATCATAGTCTATGATCTCTCCCCCCTTCTGACACACACACACACACACACACACACACACACTCTCACACACACACACTTGTACACTCCTTCTCTTTCTCCCTGACACACTCACACATGCACACATTGAATCTGACACTGTCATTCTGAGAAATTGATTCTTCACAGAAATTAATTAATTTTCATTTGGCCCCAAGCGGCAGCTTAAATCAGGACAAGCTCACTCACTCACTCACTGATCCCTTTGCTCTCTCTCTCTCTCTTCTTCCCCCTGCCTCCCTCTCTCTCTCTCTCTCTCTCTCTCTCTCTCTCTCTCTCCCTCCCTAATAACTCCTGTCTTATCATATCAACACTCTTTAGCCCTGAGCATCAGAACAGAGGAGATGATTAAATGAATTCTCGGTATTTATGATGCGATTATGTAAATTAGCTGTTTTGCAGAACTCTGATGGTGACCAACTACATGGGTCATCAATCCAATGCGCCGCAGAGATGTTTGGATTAAGGGGCTAAATTGGCTTGGATTTGTGGTTTCCTGGTGCCTCAGTCTGCCGTTGTGCAGACCACATGCTCATAACAGCATGAGTTTGAATCCAGAGGAGTGTGGATTAGCCTTAGTTTGGGGAATTGATATTGTTTGATGGTTAATCCTTGCTCCTTGGAGCATGAATGATCCAATTTACACCTGCCATTAAATGCAGATAGAGGATGCATCAAGATGAGCACAGATAAACAGCAAAAAAAAACAGATTTTGTATAGTATAAACTACTTTCCCCCCTTTTTTTCTTTATGTTTTTGGGTCTAGGTTAAAATATTCTGGTGCTTTGATATGGGTCTGCTTTTTATCTTTGATTTTTAATACCAGGTGTGAGGGTTTAAGACAAGCTTTGACTTGTTGAGCAAACCCACAAACACTCCAGAAAGAAACAAAACTATTGTGAGAATCAAGCTTCCAGCTCCATGTGCGCGGATTAACACCTGCGCTTAAGCATTTGCGGCCCTCCAACCAAGACAAAATCCAGATGCATCTTCTGGCTGCTTTGGGATTTCTTCTGTGTCTGGTGTTAATGGGAACGTTGTTATACAACCCCTGAAAATACACAGCCTCTGCCGTCTCTAATTATCCACACTACACTCAAACAGCCTTTAGTTAATGAGATCTGAAAACATCACTCGTCTGAAATCTTCAAACAACTTCCGTGATTCTTTGTCTGAAGGCTTCAAATGTGCTGCGGTAGCCATTAGTATCAGCCCCGTGCATTAGAAGTTTTCTAAGTAATCCCTCGTGTGGATGGAGCAACATACAGTAGCAGGTAAAAAGGGAAAAAAAAAGAAGTGGGACTCAAGATGGTTGTCGTTAAAGCAGGAAGGCCGGCCGACTGAACCCAAAAGTTTCAAGAACGTCTCCAAGAATGTGATGATACGGATTTCTGACAGCGTCAAGGCTCAGTGAGGTTTTTGTTACTGATTAAGACAGCCATCACTTATTATTTTCCAGTTCAGCACAGTCAGACAGGCTGGAGGAGAAATAACAGCCCTGTCTGATAGTTTAACATGACTAACTGAATGCTTTACATGGATTCCTGCTGTTTACTCTTCTGGCTATTTGTTTATTCATTGTTTCCCTTTTTTTAAGATTAAAAAAACGAGATGTTTTTCAAGCGGTGGTTACGAAAACGTCCTCTGTTTATCATTGTCTTTCCTTCTCCTCTTTGTCTCACTCTTTTACGCCTGCTGTGCGCGCACACACACACACACACACACACACACACACACACACACACACACGCTGACCACTGACTCATCAAACCATGAAGACGGGCCGACTTCACCCTCACTCAAAGCCCAGTTATAATTCATGCATAGGTGGCACACAAACACACACTCGCTGTCATCCGCTGACACACACACACACACGCGCACACACACACAAACTCACATGGTCACGCCTGTGTGTTTGCTGGCTTTGCTGCTAAATGACATTAGTTCCACAGAGAGAACATGGCGTGTAGGAGGCAACCTGATCCTCCGTCCTTTTCTTTCTCCCTCACAAAGGAACAGTTTCATTCTCTGTTAGCAACACACATCAAACAGCTCGCTGCAGGTCAAAGTGTGTGTGTGCATGTATTTTACATATACATATATACAGATATATATATATGTTGTGCAGAGTCCAGTAATTCCACCTCTCACACATGTTACATAAAAGTGGTGTAATGTGACGTGGAGTAAGATCTCATGTTTAACAAAGCGTGTTTTTTTTTTACACACACAACCTGAACAAGATAGTTAGAAAAGAAAAACACCTAATATTTAGTGTTACTGTAGTTTTCTTTGCACTAAGATATTTGCATTGAGATTTCTTAGGATTCCAATCATATGGAGGTGAATGTAATTTTGTTTGTTGAAAAATGGCATTAAAAAGAATTCCACAGCATTCTTTCTTAATAAGAAAAAGTCCCCCTTCACTCTAGATGACAGATAACAACCACACTTTTCAGAGGACCTACAGCCTTTCAAAGAAATGGTACTTAGTAAAACTGCTGATATTGTATTATTTTGATGAACAAGAGTACCAAGGTCGCATTTTCTGCAAAATATCATTTTCCGAAAGCCGGATTCCATGCACTTCAATAATCTTCTGACAGAAACAGAAAATTCACAAACCTCAAAACTAGCAGATATTCCTTAAGGTAAACGGGAACCACTGGCTAACTGACCCTCCTCGGTTCACATGTGATTTTTATTTTTTATGCCTCTCTTGCAATCAGGGACGTTTCTACAAAAGCAGAGTCAAATATGAAGCAGGTGGTTTTTTTTTGTGCGTGTTCACACAGAAAAGTGAACAAACTCAAATGATGAATGATAAATGAGACGAAGCGGCCCGCGGAGCACAACAAAAGCCTCCTCTTTGTGCTTCCCAGTGGCAAATTTTCGGCCTTGCGAGTTGGCAGCGCCGAGCCGGTTGTTGTGTGTGTGAATGCGTGCGCGCATGGGAAGGTGGACACCTCAAAGCTGAGCCCCACTGCCACACCATAACTCACTGTCAGAGTCAGCAGCGTTGGGATGGAGTGGAGGAGGCCTGTGTGTACATTCATGTGTGTGTGTGTGTGTGTGTGTGAGGGCGGGGTGCTTAGCTCAACTTTAACCTCTGCACTCGTTTGATGTTTTATAGAGAAGAGCACGATGAGATAGAGAGGGCCTCTGCGTCTTCCACTGTGACAGGTTTTAATGGAGCACGCACAAGAGCGCTCACACACACACTCTGCACACACACACACACACACAGTCTTGACATCGTCTTGACCCTGGAATGTGGGAGAGGAATGCGAGGCGGTATCAGTTCAGGAGATCAGATTTTTGCCATGATCAAACGTCCTGTGTGCGACTCTGTGTGTGTGTGTGTGTGTGTGTGTGTGTGTGTGTTGTCCTGCCTGCTTCTTTCATGACATCATCACCCAGGCTTTCCTAATAACAATGGCGCATAAAGCTCCATTTTTTTTTATTTTTTTGTTCCCCCCCTAGCCCTCGATTTGAGAGGAAGATCACAACATCAATCTTTTCCCTGCCTTCTCTAACCAGCAACATAAGTCTTCCCGCGTACAGCGACGACGTTATGATTTATCAAACCGGACCGTGACGGCGAATACAAACCCATGTGGTAAACACAGATTGAAAGGATGGGAGCATGGGAGCTGTAAACCGCTGCTAATATATTCCAAACAAAATCTTGTTTGAGCAAGTTCTCTCTCTCTTTTCTCTCTCTCTCTTTTTTTTTTTTTTTCCTTTTTCCTACAACACACTCTCACATAAACACACGCACACACAGCTGCTACCTATCAGCACCTCAGTCCCTCCAAGCCAGTAGCTGTTCCACTGTTTTGACTGTAACACTTCCTCTTCTTTCATTACTTTTCTCTTTCCCCCTCAACAGAGTTTATGTGTGTGTGTGTGTGTGTGTGTGTGAGCGAGACAGAAAGAGAGAGAGAGAGAGAGAGAGAGAGAGAGAGAGAGAGATCTGTCATCTTTGTTGTGTTTTGTTTCTGTTCCACCTGTGCTAAGCTCCAGCTGCCATGTTTAGCGTTTCATGTTTCAGGTAACACACACACACACACACACACACATTCGCTGAAGCTTGGAGGGCAGAACTCAATGTACAGAGTACCTTTTTTTAAACAAATGTGTGTGTCCGTGTGTGTGTGTGTGGCCAGAGTGTTGGCATGAGGGAGGACGTCTGGGTGAGATTTTAATTAAAGTTTGAGACAAAGAGGTCATAAGCCATACACCCCCTCCTCTGCACACACACACACACACAC